TTTCAAATGCAAGGATTATTATTATAAGGGAAAGTGGTCTTTCCAGGCTATGACTGGGTGGAGATTTGATTCTCTGCAAGTGACGTGTCCCATGCATTTTCCTGGCCAGCACCTCTCCTGGCAAATGTCTGCTTGTGGGACATTGCCACATGCAAATTGTCTGCCGCATTTGCCTACGATGACATAATCACTACAATGTAAAGCAATCTGAGATGTTTCAGCATGATAGGAACTGTATTGAATGCTAATATTATTATCATTTATTATGATGTGCAGAACAAAATAGAGAACACTAGACAGATTTTTCAAGGTAAAGGCAGGGATTTCACTTTGCAACGTTAAGAGTGCAGCTTGAAGCCTGGTATAAAGGAGGTAATAAGTGCATTGTTCAGTCAGGAACATTGATAATGTTCCTGTTGTTTAGCAGAATGCCTGGAGCAATGCAATGTTATGTCAACAATGATCAGCAACAACCATAAAAGTATAGATTAGCTTATTGACATTGTTTACAGTTTCCTTATTCTTCAAAATAGGCAATCAAAAGCTGGAATGCTCTGTTTTATGATGAATCTACATGTAGCTTTATCTGAAACATTCACTTTTTTTTCCACAAAACAAAGATATTTTACATTTTAGTTCTTCCCTCCAGGTGATGTTGTGGGTTCAAGTCCCGGAGTTGGAGACTTTGAGCTTATTAGTCTAGGCTGACATTCCAGTGTAGAGTTGTGGGAGGTCTGCATTGTCGGAGATGCTGTCCCTTAGATGAGACGTTAAAATTGTGGTCCTGTCTGCCTGTTCAGGTGGATATTTAAAGATCCTATGGCACTATTCAAAAAGAGAAGGGGGTTTCTCCTGGTGTCCTGGCCAACAACCCCCAGATATAATTGGCCATTCACTTCATGGAATTTTTGTGGCTGTTTGTGGGACATTCCTGTACGCAAATTGGCTGCTGCATTCACCTAGAAAATAGAGTCTCTACACTTCACAGTAAATCCTGTTATGCACTTTGGGACTTATTCCCATTGTGAAAGGCACTGTACCAAATGCAAGGATTATTTATTGTGTGTGTGTGTGTTAAACACATACATCGAGAATGCACATCTTCATTAAATACTGGATATTCAAAGGTTCCTGTAAGTTTAATTGAATCAAACCCATGTGCTAGCAATTAGATTGCAATTGTCCCAAAGCCCTTCGCAGGATATACTGTAAAGTGTAGTGGCTGACTATGTATTTTCGGGTGAACGCAGCTGCCAATTTGTGCATAGCAATGTTCCACAAACAGCCATGAAGTGAATGACCAATTGCTATGTATTTTATGTATTATTATGATATTATGTCTTATGGATTACGAGTGAATTTCTTTGTCACATTGATGTGCAACCTGACTTTAATAATAATGATATCTGACCAAAAAGGCTTGGTATTGTTAAATAAAGTTTTTAAAGAAAACAGGTTATTCACTTTCTGGCTGTTTGTGGGACTTTGCTGTGCACAAATTGGTTGCCATATTCATCTGCACTTTACAGTAAAATCTGCGAAGTTCTTTAAGATGACCTCCTAAAATGAAAAGCACTGTATATGATGCAATAATAATCCTTGCATTTGTTTTAGCGCCTTATCACGTCATTGAGACGTCTCGGGCGCTGGCAGCATCAGCCTCCACGGCTGCACGCCAGTCACTCCTCACTAAGCCAGTCAGGAACCTGGGTGTCTTGTTTGACCCTGAACTGTCCTGTCTCCCCCACATCCACGCCATGACCGGCACTGCCTACCATCACCTCTGCAATATCGCCAGACTCCGCCACTGCCTCACCCCTCAGGCTACCGAAACCCTCACCCACGCATTTGTCACATCAAGGTTCGATTATGGAAATTCCCTCCTCATCGGCCTTCCCAACTCTTCTCTTCACAAGCTGCAGATCATCCAAACCTCTGCAGCTCATGTACTCTCACGCACCAGGCTCCATGACCCCATCACTCCCACCCTCGCCTGACCCACTGGCTCCCCATCACCCAGAGGATCGAGTTTAAGATCCTCATTTTCAAGGCCATCTATGGCCATGCCCCCTCTGACCTGCTGATTCCCTACCAACCTACCCGGTCCCTCCGTTCAGTGGGCTCCGGTTTGCTCCATGTCTCCTGCCCGACCCACCCTGCCATCGGTGGCCGGGCTTTCAGCCTCTCTGCCCCCACACTCTGGAACTCCATCCCACAGTCCCCTTGCCCCATTTTCTCCCTTGCCTCCTTCAAGACTTGTCTCAAGACCCTCCTCTTCGATTGTGCCTTTGGTCTTCCTCCCACCTCTCTGCCTTCCCTCACCCCTACCCCACCCCTCCCACAATTCTCAGGCCCTGATTCCTGACTGTTCAGTGGTTTGGGACATCCTCCCAACGTGAAAGGCGATCTATGAATGTAATTTTGTTGTTGTTGTCTCAAAGCACTTCACAGAATATACTGTAATTGAATTGACCGTATATTTTTGTGGGTGAAATACGGCAGCCAATTGCACACAGCAATGTCCCACAAACAGTTGTGGATTGAGTGACAACATTTTTTTAGAGGACTTGAAGGGATTATTATCCCTGTAAAAACGATCCACCAATTGACTAACAACCAAATTCTTACTTACTGCAAGGTAAATAGAGGCGGGTGGAGTAAGGAAACTTGCCTAAAGTTTTGCCCTCCCTGGGAATCGAACCTAGGTCCTCTCGCCTATGAGGCGAGTGCTCTAACCAATATGCTACAGGACTCCAAATGATTATTATTTATTCCTTAACATTGGCATTTCCACACACACACTCCAGTGACTGGCCCCATAGTGAAGGGACTATGAGAAGGAATGTAATTGTCAGCTCATGCCGACAGAGCCCCTCACCAACTGCAGCTTTGTGTATAGACTTAAAAAAAAGAGAATGCAACTAGATATTGGTAAATATAATAGGATCATTTGACAGAGTGCCTCTTGCTAAATGCAGTATTTCCCTTCGCTGAGCTTGCGCTATTCCGCAAGGTTAATTTTTTATTCTCTCCTCCAATTTCCTCTTCTGTCATCTACTGACTCGTTCCAGGTTACTGTTTCATGAATGACTTCTATTACTTCACTCCAGACAACAACACATGAACCTGCAGCAAGGAACAACAACCAGTGTGAACCTTCTGCTGATTTGCCTCCCCCCATTCCACCCCCGAACCCCCAGGCTTGTGTGCCCATAAAACATTTTGAGATATCCTCCCGACACGTAAGCCACTGTATAAAATGTACGGTAAAGAGCGCAGAAGACAATTTGCATCCCGCCCCCATCACCCCCATTGATGTTCCATCTGAGATCAGTATTCACACCACGGACTGGGAGTGGAACCGGGGTACGGTACAGATTATTACTAGACTGATGGACACAATTCAATTTAGTCCCTGTGCAGCGTCAGCCCCTCAGCCTCCTCTGACTTGCGCTCGTCTGCCTCTGCGGGTGACGACAGCTATTGGTTTCCAGGAACTGATTGTTCAGTCAGTGAGTGTATTGCCACCCAGTGGCGGAGCACATTTTTGTTCAAAATTTCTTGGTCGTGTTGCCTTCATTTTCTTTTGTGCGTTTTCCTTGCAAGCTCTTGTTTGTGAGTGAAACGCGACAGCCCCAGCCAGTTTGCGCACAGCAATGTCTCACAAACCCCCATGAATTGACTGACCAATTTTATTTGGGAGGATTGAATATAAACAAAACGCAAAATACTGCAGATGCCGGAAATCTAAATGGTTCTGACGAAGGGTCGTGGACCCGAAACGTTGACTCACTTTCCTTTCTCCATAGATGCTGCCTGACCTGCTGAGTGTTCCCAGCGACTTCTGTTTTTGTTTATTTGGAGGATTGTTGGCTGGGACACGGGGAGAGAGAAACCCCCTCCTCCTTAACGTCCACCCGACCGAAGATTTCACTTTTTACTTTATTTAACATTTCATTTTTTAAATTTTATTTATATTTTTTATATAAAAACATAATACATTTTAATGAGGGCTTCATTAACAGTTTAGTATCATTTCTGCGAGTTCCTATGGAAAGGGCCACACGTTTAAAGACGCGATAAGGCAAGGATTCAAAATAACTGTCTTCGTAGAGGGTAACGCCCCGGAGCGCTTTACAACGATGCATTCGGACTCCGAGGAGAGGAGATGGGGATGTGGAGCCCTGTAGCTCAGTGGTTAGAGCACTCGCCTCGCAAGCGAGAGACCTGGGTTCGATTCCCATTAGGGCCAAACCTTGGACAAGTTTCCTCACTCCACACGCACACACACATGCATACACACACACACATGCATACACACACACATGCATACACACGCACACACACATGCATACACACGCACACACACATGCAACACACGCACACACACATGCATACACACACACACATGCATACACACGCATACACATGCACACACGCGCGCACACGCACACACACGCGCACACACGCACGCACACACACACATACGCACACACACACACGCGCGTAATCATAATCCCGCAAGAGAAAAATAATAAATTGGCTGCCGCGTTTCGCCCACGAAATATACAGTCAGTTCACTTTACGCTATATTCTGTGAAGCGCTTGGAAACGTCTGGAAGACGCGATGAGGCGCTATGTCGAATGCAAGGATTATTACTACTATAAAATACACAGTCTATAACTTTCCGCTTCGGATCCGGAACCTGATCGCGGGCAGACGGTGCCGCCCGGACACGAGCCCGGGCCGGACCCGCGGCACTGACGGACACGCTTCCGCTCCAGTCTGGTGACAGACTTCCGGTTCCGGCCGTCCCGGCTGCACCCTGCAGTGTCCGCCGCTCTCATTGGCTACTTCTCTCCACGGCCGTTGTTGGTGGTGGCGGCTGCTTTTCTAACCAATGAGAGCGCGTGGCCTAAAGTGACGTCAAGACGTGCGGCGTGAACTGGTGATGCACAGCGTGAAGGAGCCGCGTGGTGATACAGCAACTGAGGTGAGAGACAGAGAGAGACAGTGAGAGTGAGTGAGTGAGAGAGTGAGTGAGAGAGAGAGTGAGTGTGAAAGTGAGAGAGAGTGAGTGTGAGAGAGAGAGTGTTAGAGAGAGAGAGAGAGAGTGAGTGAGACAGTGTGAGAGAGAGTGAGTGAGAGAGTGAGTGTGAAAGAGAGAGTGTGTGAGAGTGAGAGAATGTGAGAGAGAGAGAGAGAGAGTGAGTGTGAGAGAGAGTGAGAGTGTGGGAGAGAGTGACAGTGAGAGAGAGTGACAGTGAGAGAGTGACAGTGAGAGAGAGAGTGACAGTGAGAGAGAGAGTGACAGTGAGAGAGAGAGTGTGTGTGAGAGAGAGAGAGAGAGAGAGTGTGTGTGTAAAATACTGTTAAGTGTTTGCGTTGCCTTTCCAGGTTGTCTGAGGTACCGTCTGAAAATGGTGGTTGGAAAGAAAAGGTTTGAGGCAAAGGCCACAAATTCCCCTGGAAAAAACAAATTTAAAGGATCTGTGCACACCACGTCTGGTAAAAACTACAGCATTGTTGGAACATACACAGTAAACGTCACATAAGTGATTTGGGACACTACCCCACATGAAGGGCGCAATATAGATACAAGTTGTTGTTATCTTTTACCTTCAAGGTTCTCCATGGTCTTGTTCCCCACTACCCCTTTGACCTCATAGCCCCATATCAGCCTCTCCGCTCCTTCCGCTAGGCGGACACTGGCCTGCCTCAGGTCCCCCGCACGTCCCACCCCATCGATGGTGTCGGGCATTCAGCATCTCCGCACCCACACACTGGAACTTTATTCCGCAATCCCTCCGCCTCACCCCCTCTCTTGCCTCCTTCAAGTCCCCTCTGAAGACCTTACTCTTTGAACCTGCCTTTGGCTACCCTCCCACCCCCCTGTCCCCCTCCCCATCTGACCCCAACTCCCAGCTCGGATCTAAAGCCCCTGATTGAGCAGCGCCCTGGCACGTCTTTCTGACATGAAAGGAGCTGTACAAGTGTAATTTGTTGTTGTCATAAGTTGTGTTAGTTGGGATCATCCATTTAATGATTTATAAAAAATATTTCAAACTTGCATAGAATATAAACTTGGAACAGGATTTGGCAGATGTACGACTTAGGCAATTGTACATATAATTACATAATTATACATATCAGACTTATGCGAATTTTGCTATATTTGGCAGAATAGGTTAATCACAGCAGTTGTTCACCAGTTTTAGTGAAGAACAAAACTCTTAAGAAGAGGGTTAGACTACCCAGTCCATCATGTCTGCTTCTCCATCATTCAGTTAGATCCTGACAGCTCCATCTTTCTCAACTTTTTCTCCATATCCCTTTGTGGAATTAAATGTCTTGCACCATTTTGTGTCATGTAACAATTTCTCAAAGTTGACATTGTTTGTATTCTGTACAGTAAATGTTTGATAATAAATGTAGTTTTTTGTTAATAGATTTTGATGCTCCCAGAAAATTCAGAGGTGAAGCTGGGAAAGGGAAGCCAAAGTTCAGATCTCAAAAGTATGAAAAGGGGCCAAAAAAGTTTGTCTCAAAACGGAATGAAAATCCTGATGGAAAAGCATATGTAGCAGGGATGAAAAGAAAGCAACAGACTGTGGGTGCGTTTGGGAAGAAGAGAAAGCAATCTGAAGGGAATGAAGAGAGTATGTAGTTAATATTCTGAATTGTATTTCTCTCTTGTTAAACTTATTTATTTACAATTACTAAATGCTTATATGGTTTATATTGTATTTATGTTATTATTTATAATTATTAATATTGTATATCTATATTTTGGGGGGGTTCATTCGCCAAAGCATCAGATGGCGTGGAAATAGATTTTTTTCTGGCTTTTTTTAATGGAATTCCAGAAATCTATTCGTTCAAATAAACTATTCTTGTATTTGAGATGGTGCCTTTCACATCAGGAGTATATCTTACAAAGAGCTTCGCAGGATTTATTGTAAAATATTGACTGTTTTGCAGGAGAACAATACAACAAATATCCTGAAGTTATTGGCTGAAATTTGCTCCCACGTTAATTATTTCAAACCTTGCTGATCCTTTCCCAAAGATTTATAAAGAATGTACAGCACAGAAACAGCCCAACTAATCTGTGCCGATGTTTATACTCCACCACATGTCTACATCCACTCCTTACTCCTTGGAGTCCTGTAGCTCAATGATTAGAGCATTCGCCTCACAAGCGAGAGACCTGGGTTCGATTCTCAGCAGTGCAAAACTTTGGGCAAGTTTCCTTACTCTACATGTCTGATAATAATCCCTCAAGAAAAAACATAAATTTTGGTCACTCAATACACGACTGTTTGTGGGACACTGCTGTGCGCAATTGGCTGCTGCGTTTCGCTCACAAATATACAGTATATTCTATGAAGCACTTTGAGACGTCTCGAAGAAGTGAAAAGCGCTATATCAAATGCAAGGATTATTATTACTCCCTCCCATACTGTTCAATTCCCCTCTCCCTTATGTGAAGGTCTAGCTCATCCTAAATTCTCTTTTAACTCTGTGCCGAATCCACACTTTGTTTCCAGTAGCTACCAAGCCGCGATACTCACGGCTAGGCCATAAATGAAGAAAAATTCAATAAAGTAAAATATATTTGGTTGGCCGACCAAAAAGGTTGGCTACCACTGCCCTAATTTATTTTATATTTATGTCCCTTGGTTATAAATTCCCCAACCAATGGAAACAGACGATTTATGTTAAACTAATAGATATATGCGGATGGCAATGTATATAGATTGATAGATGGATTGAAGATTGCAGATTGATGAATGCATTGCTTTTTATCAAATGTTGCTTTCAAGTAGTATTTCAATACCTTTTCCTTTTAACTTTTCAAAAGAGAAGTTTCAACCTCCAGTCGAGTGTCTTGTGATGTTTTGTAAAGTGCTTTTGTTTTCTCTTATAGAGGGGGAGAAACCCAAATGGAGCGAATTTAAAAAGCAAAAGAAGGAACTAAAGCAGAATAGGCAGCAACAGGATCGGAAAACCCACTTTGATTTAGTCATCCGATCAAAGCAGATCTGGGAAAGTGTAAGAAGGTACTGTCAAAATAGTTCAACTTTTAATACGTTTCTGTTCTGAGATACAAACTTGGCGTTAGATCATAGAAGAAAAATCTGGTTGTTGTCCAGATTTGTGCGTCCCAGACACAAAGCGAAATGCGAACAAGTTCTGACTGTGCCTTCGGTCACCCTTCCCCCCCGCCGCCCCCCGGCTTCCATCCTCCCCGATCCCAACCCCCAGCTCGGGTCCGAAACACTGATTGTCCAGAAAATACACAGTCAATCCACTTTACTGTGAAGCGCTTTGAGATGTCTCAATGATGTAATAAAGCACTATATCAAATGCAAAGATTATTATTGAGATTAGAGTTTTTCTCCAGTTGCGGAGCTGGCACCAATATAAGTTCGATGGTACGAATGGTCTCATCCTAAAGTGTAATTTCTATAATCCTATTTATCACAGTGCTGTTGCATCTTCAGTGTTCATCTGAACAGGCAGGCAAAGTTTAATGTTTCATCTGAACCACAGCACCATACAGCGCTCCCCCAACAATGTACAGTGCCTGTCTAGAGTTTGAGCTCAAAGTCCTGGTATGGGACTTGAACCCATTTGATTCGGTGGTGAGAATGCTGCCAACTGGGCCAGGCTGAGACGTTTTAGTGCAAGACCTGGAAGTGAGTTAGAAAATATGCACAATGAATGGGGTCTACAGTGCAATTGCATTATAACAAAATAATAATAATAATCCTTGCGTTTGATATAGCGCTTTCCACGTCTTCTAAACATCTCAAAGTGCTTCACAGAATAGACTATAAAGTGAATTGACTGTATATTTGTGGGCGAAATGCGGCAGGCAATTGCACACAGCAGTGTCCCACAAACAGTCGTGGGTTGAAATGACCAATTTATTATTGTTTTTTTGAGGGATTATTATTTTGCTCATTAAAGAAATGCAATATAACAGTGCTGCAATGTATTACCAATTAGACATGATGTTAAAATCATGACTAACCCAAGGCTGATCCAGTGATTCACATTAAAAAAAACAGCTGTTGTCTCCCAAGTCGAGTAGTTGGGTTGTTTTTGTATCCGTCTATATAGTTTCACACACATGGGATAGTGAAGCCAGCTCTCACAACCCCAACAAGATTTTAGAGTGCCAGCTACCAAGTTGTACTGAGACTCCGCTGTACACCCAAAATGAGGACAGAACAACAAAACACAGGGAATTTTTTTTAAAAAAAGCTTCTAATTAGCAATTATTATGACAGAATTACAGATTCATTAAGGAACATTCAGCCCCTCGAGCCCATTCTGCCATTCTATTAGATCATGGCTGATCTGTACCTCAACTTCATTTATACGCCTTTGCTCCATAGCCTTGATGCCCTTACCTAACAAAAGAACTATAGACCTCAATCACTTTGTGAATCATTTGACATGGCAACCACTTTTGTTCTTTATATGGACTAATCTGCTGCTACACAAAAGAAACAGGAATTGTAATTTGGAAAAATGTAGAGAAGAAATAGAAGAAGTGAGAGGAAATGAAAAAGTATAATGAAAGATTGCAGATCTGATCTGTTTATGGAACAGAAATCCCAAGCTGTTAGTCTTCCTATCCATCATGCACGCTCAGTTGATATCGTAATTTAGTTGTGTTAAAGTGATGAATGTTTTTTTATTATCTATTGCTTCAAAATAAACACTTTGTAAAGCATTGTGAGATTTGAGCATGCCCTTCCGTCTGTAATCTGGTTACTGATTTTGACAAACAACTTTGATCACTCAGTTGTGGGTCTATTTTTATTTGCACAATTTATTTTAGAAAAAGAAATTGCCAAACAATTTGGTCACTCATCCATGACTGTTTGTGGGACAATGCTGTGCGCAATTGGCTGCCATGTTTCGCCCACAAAATATAGAGTCAATTCACTTTACGGTATATTCTGTGAAGACGTCTTGATGACATGATAAGGCGCTATACCAAATGCAAGGATTATTATTATTAAACTGGGCAATTTACATTATCCGGGGCAACAGTTGGAGGGTGCCTCTATACCCATGACTAGAAGAGATAATCAGACAAGATTCCCACTGCTTCACTATCCAAAGATCAGGAAGGTGCGTGTTCTGTGTTATGTGGTTAGATGAGGCCAGGATTGTGCTGAATTGTGAAATTATTAATAATAATCCTGATGTCTGATACACCAATTTTTACGACAGAATATAATGTAAACTGCAGTGTATTTTTGTAAGCAAATGCGGCAGCCAATTTGCGCACAGCAATGTTCCTTATACAGCCGCAAATTCTTGGCAATTTGGAGCACCTGTAAAGTTGCAGGTTTTGGTCAAATGGGTCTTATTTTGTTTCTAGGAAAGACTGTACTAAAGAAAAGCGAGCAGAACTGATGAAAGAATTGCAGAAGCTCCTCCATGGGAAAATTAAAGATGTAAGTGACGTTCTTCCCTCTTACATGACATTTTCAACAGAGGTTCGTTAAATGGTGTGCAGATTTTTGATATAGTCCATATTGTGTTAATCTGTAGTTCTTTATAAAGAATTCACAGTGCATCATTTGGCATTTGTGATCCATGTGTATTTTGTTCCCAGACTCTAAAAATATTGGAGGGGGGAGTTGCAAAACAACAACCTTGAATTAGTCGAGTACCCAGTTAGCCATCACTGAGTGTTTGAGTGCTTGGCTCCAATATCTAATATAGGACATTTAAGATCCCACCTGACTATGTAAATCCAATTTACTTTTCTGGTTTGGAGAAACAATATAATAATGCTTGCATTTCAAGGAGCACCTATAACATCAAAACATCTGAACACATGACACAGGGAATTTCTGATGAGTGTAGTGACTCTATATTTCTTGACAAACTCAGTAGCCAATTTGCATAGTGGAAGGAGGATTTTCAGGAATCCCTTTGGTGGGTTGGTTGTTCCTAAGATCAATACAGCCAAAACCCCAAATAAAATCTGTTGAATTTACAACAACAACATGGATTTATATAGCACCCTCCATGCTGGATGGCGTCTCAGAGCGCTCCACAGTAATGGATCCCGGGGCCGAGCGAGGGGGAGGAAGGTGATCAAAGGCACGGTCGAAAAGAAAGGTTTTCAGCAGAGACCTGAAAGTAGGAAGAGAGGGGCGAGGCGAAGAGAGTGAGGAAGGCAGTTCCAGAGCCTCGGGGTATAGTGGCTGAAGGTACGAGCGCCGAGGGTGGAGCGGAGGACTTGGGGGATGAGGAGGAGGCCAGACCAGGAGGAACGAAGACAACGGGCACTGTTTTGAGGCAAGAGGAGGTCAGAGAGGTAGGGGGTTGCGGAGGAGTGGAGGGACAGTGCCTGTTGCCTTCGTTCCTCTGGGTCTGGCCTCCTTGTCTCCCGAGTCCTCCGCTCCACCCTCGGCAGCCGTGCCTTCAGCCACTATGCCCCGAGGCTCTGGAATTCCCTTCCTCACTCCCTTCGCCTCGCTCCCTCTCTTCCTACTTAATCAATTAATTAAAGGGATTTTTTGGAAGAGGAAGCGGATTGCTTTAAACTTTTAAAAAAACTTACCTGAAATAATATTCAAAGCATCTTCTGCTTTTCATACTGACCTATCCGCTCCCTCAGCTTAGCAGTCTCCGATCTGCTCCATGTCTGCCCCACCATCAGCAGTCTAACCTTCAGCCTCTCTGCCCCCACCCTTTGGAACTCCATCCACAGTTACTTCATCTCGCCCACAGTCCCATTGCCTTGGCCCCTCGCTTCCCTCCTTCAAGGGCCTCCACTTCGATCGTGTCTTCAGTCACCTTCCTACCCCTACCCTCCCAATCTCCTGCTCGGGTCCAAATCCTTGACTGTCCAGCACTTTGGGGTGACCTCCTGACTTGAAAGGCGCTATACTAATGTAATTTGTTGTTTATAGATATTGTCACTTGTGCTATTACAAAAGCAGCTTTGAACAGGCAGCCACATTTGGTGTCTGGGACCTAGTTGCCTGCCCAGTCCAGGTCTGTTCCAGGTGGCTGATGATTCTGGCAGAGCCGTGTCAAACCGTTCAGTGCCAGCTCCCAACTTAACGTAAAAAAATCTCAGTCTACCTGAGCAAGTGTACTTCACTTTGGTAGTATCTCGCTGCTCTCACAGCACAAATTTCCTTCAGAGTAAAGTACCACGTTTCCTTTCCGATGTGAGTCAGTACTTCACCAGTCCCTCACCAGTGCCACTTTCTTCCACCTCCGACGCATCGCCCGTCTCCGCCAATACCTCACTCCAAAAGCCGCTGAAACCTTGGTCCATGCCTTTGTCACCTCTCGGTTGGACTATTCGCTCCACCGGGTCTGGCCTCCTCCTTGTCCCCCGAATCCTCCGCTCCACCCTCGGTGGCTGTGCCTTCAGCCACTACGCCCCGAATCTCTGGAACTCCCTTCCTCATTCCCTTTGCTTCGCCCCCTCTCTTCCTATTTTCAATTCTCAGCTGAAGACCTTTCTTTTTGAATGCGCCTTTGGTCACCTTCCTCCCCCCCCCCCCCGACTCGGCCCCGGGATCCGTTACTGTGAAGCGCTCTGAGACGCCGTCCGGCGTGGAGGGCGCTATATAAATCCTAATTGTTGTTGTTGTTGGGACGTGCTTTTGATGTGCCACATTAATGTAATATCGTATAGCATTGCTTCTATGCCTTAAGGGGTTTCGGCCGTGGTCCTGATGTGCAAATCCTTATGTATTTTCAGGTTGCCTTTGCGCACGATTCTACCCGAGTCATTCAGTGTTACATCCAATTTGGAGAAGAAGAGCAAAGGAAAGAAGTGTTTGAGGAACTGAAAGGTATTTCAAGCACTCTCAAATGGTACCCTGCGTGGAGGGCACTATATAAGTTCAAGTTGTTATTTTTGAATTGTTTGTGCGACCATCGTTACACTATGAAAAGGTTTGGTGGCCGGCTGTGTCTCACTTGGTACTAATTCTGTGCTTTGTTTCCAGAACACTTGATTGAGCTGAGTAAGTCCAAATACGGCAGGCATATCGTGAAAAAATTCCTCATGTATGGGTAAGTCAAACATTGACAACTGGCAAGTTGGAAGACAATGAGAGTCCATTACGATACGGAATTGAGGATTCTCTGCCAACGTGTTGCTTATTCACTTACACATTCGCTTGCTAAACAGATATTCACTTATCACAATCTGAGTGTTCAAAGGGGAAAAACAGATGTCGGCATGTTTTTTCCTGGCTTTTTTTAAAACGGACTACTTTAAGTTTTCATGTTTTTCTTTTTTTGCTAGAAATAAGCAGCAAGTGGCAGAAATAATTAAAAGTTTTAAAGGTGAAGTAAAAAAGATGTTGCGCCATTCGGAAGCCTCGTCGATCGTTGAGTTTGCATACAACGACAAAGCAGTGTTAGAGCAGAGGAACCTGTTAACAGAAGAGCTATACGGCACCAAGTTTATGATTTGCAAGGTAAGTTGTTAATCTTCTTTCTTTGGCTGTTTACCACTGATGCAGTTGTTTGCACTGCTCATTCCTGAGCCATTCTATTGCACTGTATCTCGAGATTTGTTTGGCTGGATGAAATGGCTCTACAGCCCACTTGATCTCATCCTTCTAGAATACCCACCATGCTGTCCTCACATCACAGCATACAAGTTGCTTCTTGAATGAGTCCAGTGTCTTGGCTTCAACCGCCCTTCATGGTAACTCATTTCAGTTGTTAATTGCACTCAGTGTGAAGAAAAACTTCCTGGTATACAATGTGATTTTTGGGGATTTATCAATTTTTAATTGAGGACTATTCAGAACTGATTTGTTGGTTAATCTCTGCAGCTATTTTTAAGTTATAATAATCCTTGCATTTGGTAAAGTGCTTTATCACTTTGGAAGGATGTCTCAAAAACCTTTACAGGATTTACTGTGAAATAGAGAGGCTGTACTTTAGGCAAATGCGGCAGCACAAATACGCACAGCAAAGTCCCACAAACAGCTATGAAATGAGTGACCAATTTTACTTGGTCAGGACACATGGAGAAACTCCCTTCGCTTTTCGAATAGTGCCATGGGATGTTTAAGGTCCGCCTGAGCGGTTTAACTTATCATTAAACCGAGGTCTGGTCTGCCCGTTCATGTAAACATTAACTTTTTTTTATCAGGCGTACACTGCCTGATTTTATAGTTGTACATTGCATGTTAATTAACATTCATATGTCGCCTTTCGCATGGGGGGGGGAAGTCCCAAGGTGCTTAGCAATCCTGGCTGGGCACCTGAGCTGGGAATAGAAGCGAAAGGGGATGGGTAGGGGAATGATGACTGAAATTCTGGTCAAAGAGATATTGTAGTGCAGACTGCACAAGCAGTAACAAGTTAACTTGATTAGTTTCATGTGGTATCCTAGACCCAACATATAACATTGGTCATCCACTTCTTTGGGTTTTTGTGGGACATTGTTGTTGCAAATGGGCTGTCGCGTTGGGCTACAAATACAGTCACTACACTTTGTATTCTGTGAAGTATTTTGAGATGTACTCACAAAGTATTCAGACATGGTGCAGTGCACTGGAGCACCAGTGTGTGGAGTAGTAGAATGAATGTAGGTTTGTCTCCATTCTCTTTGTGTTTGCTGGGAACATTGGGAATACAGGAGCAGGAGAGACCATTCAGCCCATTGAGCCTGTTCCTGCTGATTTCAGTTGACCTGGCCTGTTACAGAGGCTCTGACTGGAGACCAGGTGATTCCTCACAGGAAGGGAAAGCTCTGATTAACCGCTTTTTCTTTTACTTTTTTGACCCCATATGGAGTGAAATGTAAAATACTTAAAAACAATCTGCTTTTTTTTGTCAGTCTGCAGCTTGTCCAACATTAGACCAGGTTCTCGAGTCTAATCCTGATTGGCGAGAAGGCATACTGGAGGAAATGAAACAGATTCTCGCTCCCATGGCGCAGAAGTAAGCAGAATGTGTAGTGCCTTCACGTCAGGAAGACATCCCAATGTGCAGGACATTCAAGGATTTGCACCCAAGCTGGGATCAGAACGGGTTGAGGGCAGGGAGGTATGAGGGTGACTGATGGCGTGGTTGAAGAGGAGGGTCTTGAGACAGCTTTGAAGGAGGCAAGGGAGGGAATGAAGCGAAGAGACTGGGAGGTGGAGTTCCGAAGGGTGGGGGCAGAGAGGCTGAAAAGCCGATGGTGGGGCAAGCAGGACGGGAATATGGAGCAGGCCGGAGCCTGCTGAGCAGAGGGAGTAGATAGGGCACTATGCAGTTAACAGGTCACAGAGGTAGGAAGGAGTAAGGCTGTGAAGGCAATGACGATGATTTTGAACTCTATCCTCTGGGGGATGGGGAGCCAGTGAAGCCAGGCGAGTGTGTGGATGAAAGGGTCACGGAGCCTAGTGTGGGAGAGGATATGAGCTGCAGAGCTCTGAATGATTTGCAGCTTGTAAAGGGAAGAGATAGTAAGGCCGACAAGCAGGGAGTTAGCGTAATTGGGCCTAGATGCGTAATTGGGCCTAGATGAGTCTCGGTGGCCATAGGGGAGAGGCAACGGTCATTAGTATATAAATGAAACGTTACGCACAAAGTGCTTTTAAATAAAATTTCTAGTGTTTTAAGCCTGCTTAAGTGATCTCTTTCTGCTCCTGACAGAGAAGCTGTGATAAAACACTCATTGGTTCACAAAGTATTTCTGGACTTCTTCAGGCACTGTCCTGCAAAGCTGAGATCGGTAAATGATTGTTTTTCTTTTCAAACTGTTCAGCATGACTCCATTTAATCGTCTTAAAGTTCACAAAGGGATCAGTTTAGAGGCACATCCTGCATATTTGGGTAAAATTTGGAGTGATAAATATCAAATGTACCTCTAAACTGACCCCGATATGCATTTCTGTAGAGAACATTTCTGAACAACTCTTTTTTTCTAACCAGTTTACAGAGAAAGTTCCACTCAACCAGCAATTTTGTTCTTCATTTTTTTTATATTTTGCAACTCCTCTGATTTTGTACAGAGGCAATTGTGTAATATGTGTTTTTTTTGAAATTCTTCAGTGAATGCCAGTAACCAAAGAACCTGTTCAGCTTGAATGCACCTCGGGCAGTGGTATTAATTGGTCTGTTTCAGTACATAGTAAGTGGGTCCTGTAGGAATTGAACCTTGTCCCTGCCAATCAATTCTAATAGTCCTAGCTTCCACCATTGTTTTATCAGGGAACAATAAGCCCATCAATTTAAACCTACACTGTGGAGAAGGTGACTTAGCTAAGCTTAAGTATACTGGTATTAATCACTGCCTGTAAGCCATCACGTGGCACTTTCCCGGTTTCACAAGATCAGTTTGGATGAGGAAACGCCCTTTGGCTCATTTGATCTCATTCGTGCAGGATACACACCCAACCATCTTCCCATTACAGCATTAGGCTGTATTTTAAATAAATCCAGTGTTCTGGCCTGACCTTAAAACCCTTCCTGGTAATCTGTTCCAGTTATTAATTGCTGTCTTGGTAAATAAATACCTGTTGGTGTCTGTCCTTAACTTGCCCTTTACAACTTTGTGGAGTCCTGTAGCTCAGTGGTTAGAGCACTCGCTTTGCAAGCGAGAGACCCGAGTTCAATTCCAGGCAGAGGGCGAAACCTTGGGCAAGTTTCCTTACTCCACACAGAGCCTAATAATAATCCCTCCAAAACCAAAACCAATAATAAATTGGTCATTTTCAATCTACGACTGTTTGTGGGACATTGCTGTGCGCAATTGGCTGCCACGTTCGCCCACAAATATACAGTCAATTCACTTTACAGTGTGTTCTGTGAAGCGCTTTGGGACGTCCTCCCGACGTGAAAAGCGCTATATCAAATGCAAGGATTATTATTATTATTATTACAACACTAAACCTGTGTCCTCCTGTTCTGCTGCCTCAGTGAATCCAAACGTATTGTTTTGAATTTACATTTTTAACCCCATTTAAAATCTGATATACCTTTATAAGATCTTCTCTGAGACATCCTTCAAGAGCCCTTGCTTGTCTAATTGTTGTTTATAAACTGAGCCAACAGCAAAAGTGCAGCTGCACCTCTGCTGCGGAATCTGCTACAAACGCCCTCTTCCACTTCAAACACACTCCTCCGCTACAAACCTGTTACAATTGTAGTTTCTGGCTTCTCGCTGTTTAACTGTCATCGCTGTGGGCGGAGCGGCTCCAGACGCACATGCATGGCGCAAGCGGCAAATGGGCTTCACTCGGGAGTACCTGCTGTTGTGATTGTGTGTGTGTGTATGTGCTTGTCTGTGTGTCTCTGTTTGTGTACGTCGCGTAAACATTTATGGAAAGAAAGTGTCGGTCTGGTATACGGAGCTGTTTTGACCTGCTCTACTCTTCTGTTTTTCGATTTGTTGCAAAAATGCTGATGCAGCTATTATAAGAGAATATTGCACGCCCAGAATTGATTGTGATCTGGTGATCTCAGTGGGACTTAGCTTCCACTAATCATTGCAAATCTTTTCACAATATGTTCTTATTTAATGAAAGATAGCTGTTTTAGTTATAAGTTTAAGAGCAATCCCATTTATCCTTTTTAAAGATAACCCAAATCTTGAGTGGTTTACAAACCCAATCTGAGCTCTGAAGTTGATTATTTCTCTTGGCGTTATTCTTTGTTATCCTACACTTTTAATATATGATACAAAACTACATTTGTAAAGCACCTTCACAATATGAACTGCTATGGTGATATTATACAGTTTTGATTGTATTTGGAGAGACTAGCAACTAGTGTGCTCTTTGTTGCATGTTGACATTCACACTGGAGAATTGATGTGTTGACACCAATGCTGCAAGTTTATTATTGTGCACTGGTAATACATCACTTGCAAGTGGTATGTTTCTAATTTATATAGGGCCGCATTGAAGAATATTAAGTAGCTGGGAAGGTGTTGATGTTATTGAGTCTTTGATGACTTGATAAATGCTGATAATAAAGTTTGAGCAGTTCATAACCATTTGATCCGTGGCTGTTCTATAATTCTATAATGCACGTATTATTTTATGATACACACTGTGAAGATCTTTTTGTTTATACCTAGTACTGTGCTAGTATACCAGTAGATTAATGGTGGTTCCCCACTGTGTTATTACTGTTTATGTTCTATATACTTTTGAAAACTCTTTTATATTTTGAATTCAGGAAATGATTGAAGCAGTGAGGGAAGCAGTCATCTACCTGGCACACACACACGATGGAGCCAGAGTTGCCATGCATTGCTTATGGCACGGCACCACTAAAGTAAGTCGTTAACAGCGATTTGCACTTTTGCAGCACTTGTCACTTAGGCGAGTGGCTCAAAGGGCTTTACAGAGATGGAGTGGAAGTCAGGCAAAGTAGCTGCTCTACTTTGGTGTCCAGTGCATAAACCAATAAGATTGTGCTTTCCTTATAATTTTTTTATATAGTAACTGCAATATCTGAATCAACTGGCAGATATCCAGATTTCTCCCTGGTGACATTCATCTCCTTTTGTCCCTGAAACATTTTATTAGCCTTGTTCATTAGAACGTGGAATGTCCTGTGAAAGGATCTGGATGTTCCCATTGATTGATGGTAAAGACGAGAGAAACTGGGGCTGTTTTCACGGAAACAAAGAAGGTTGAGAGGAGACCTGGTAGAGGTGTTTCAAACGATGAGAGGTTTAGTTAAGGTGAATAAGTAACAACTATTCTATTTCCAGTGATTGTGGGTCAGTAACTAGAGGGCATTAAGTTAAGATCATTACAAAACACGTTAGGGTTTGTTTTAAGTTCAGAGGTGTTAGGACTTGGAATATCCCACTTAAATCCATGGTTGAAGCAGGATACGTAATAGCTTTTAAAAGGGAATTAGATAAATATTTGAAAAAGAAAAATATAATAATCCTTACATTTGATATAGGATCCTTCATATTGGGAGGCCATCTCAAAGAGCTTCACAGGATTTATTGTGATAGAGACTGTATAATTATAAGCAAACTCAGAAGCCTATTTGTATACAACAGTGTCTCACATTTTGTTTAAGAAACCGGCTAATTCTGTTTGATGTGGGTGCACAGCTAGCAGTGTAGAGTCAGCGAGATGTGATCCCGGTGTAAAAGAGGTACTTTATATTTTGTGGGCAAAACAAATTTATACAGTCAATCCACTTAGCAATATATTCTGTGAAGCACTGAGATATCTCGACAACGTGATAAGGCACTATGTCAAATGCAAGGGTTATTTATTTATTAATTGCATTGTATCGATGTGTGTTTAACCAGTCTCAGTTGAGCAGAATTACAGTTCTTTAACGATCTGCTTTCTTTCTAGGACAGAAAAGTGATTGTGAAAACGATGAAGACTTTTGTAGAGAAATCAGCCAGTGTAAGCCACGTGATCCTTATTACTTGCTGAACAATTGAACAAGTTAACCCTATATTGGTTTATTAAGTAATAAATTCCTCATGTATTAATTGATATATTAATAAATATTAATTAATTTCAAACTTCATTTAGTTTATGTTTCAAATGTTTGTAAAAGGAGGAGAATATAATAAACCAATTCAAAGATGTGTTACTGACTACTGGTTAACACTAAATTCTTTTCAAAAGCCCTGGAGGTCCCTCATTTCTCCCTCTTCCCTCCCACCCCCTCTCCTCCCCCCCCCCCCCCCTTCTCCTTTCCACCACATAGTTGGTGTTGCAATGTGGCAGGCACAGAAGATGATAAATGTGGAATTCTGCAGGGTTGACTTAGTCGTGCAACTGATAAATGATCTCTTTTACAGGGTGAATTCTCCCACTTGGTTCTTCTTGCTGCCTTTGACTGTATAGATGACACAAAGCTTGTAAAACAGATCATAATCTCGGTAAGGAACAAGCTAATTCTGTGTTGTTGAACTAAAATTGGGACTGTGTCCTGTTGATGTTGCCTCCTTAAAAAAAACACTGAACTGTAGCTCTGAATGTTATTTATTTTGCAAATGTGGATGCAGTGAGTTACAGTTATGTGGATCTGTGGAGTCATTGTCTAAGTAACAACAATGCAAACGGAAAACATGACCTTGCCTCTGGAAATCATTTCTCAAACTACTTTTGTTTGCTGCCTGGCTTTCAAACACTTGCTCACGACCATACTCGCTTTGAGTGCACCTTTTGCTACCTCTAAATTCCTCACACGTCTTGCTTGGTATCCAGGACACTCATTGTTAAGTGCTATTGAGCCAGTGTATACACAAGTGCAATTTACTGAATGCAAAATGTTCACCCTGAATCAAGCAAACTGGGCCTTGGGATTAATGTCCAATCCAAACAGGACCTCCAGTGCTCTCAGAGTATTAGCCAAGATATTGGTGTGGAGCTTGAACCCACAGATGTCTCATACAGAGACGAGACCGTGACAAGCTAAGGTGGACTTGACACCTTGGGAACTGAGAGTGATTGAGTAATTAAAAAAATCGATACAGACATAAAGAGGTTACTTTGAAAAGTATGTGTGTATGTGTATAAGTGTGTTGTGTGTAAATTTACTATATGGACAACTCTTCCCTCCACAAACTGCAGATTATTCAGAACTCTGCAGCTCATGTCCTTTCCCACACCAGGCTCCGCGAACCAATCACCCCTGTTCTTGCCCGGCTTCACTGTTCTTGCCCAGCTTCTCCATCCCTCAGATAATTGAGTTCAAAACCTTTGTTCTCACCTTCAAAGCCTTCCACGGTCTTGTTCCGTCCTACCTCGCCGACCTCCTAACCCCATATCAGGCTGTTTGTTCCCTCCGCCTGGCGGACACTGGCCTGCTTCAAGTCCCCCACATGTCCCACCCTACCATTGATTCAGCATCTCTGCCCCCACACTCTGGAACTCTTATCCCGCAATCCTTTCACCTCACGCCCTCTCTTGTCTTCTTCAAGTCCCGTCTAAAGACCTTCCTCTTTGACTGTGCCTTCAGCCACCCTCCCATCCCCATCCCCCTGGCCTCTACCCTTTCCGAGCCCAACTCCCAGCTCGGGTCCAAAGCGCCTGGCTGTCCAGCGTCCTGGGACGTCTTTCTGGCGTGAAGGGTGCTATACAAGTGTAATTTGTTGTTGTGTGGGTTATGACCTGTGAAATATTGGAGGTCAAGGGTATTGTGTGTGTGTGTGTATGTGTGTATGAACATACACTGGATCAGAACAGGGTGGTTTCTGTAGCTGAATTACCAATCAACAGTCACTGTCCAGGCTCACTCGTGACGCTACTTGATTGACACTGCGAGCCATACCTAAGCTATAGGTTTTGCCCTCATGAAAAGAAGGTAAGGGGAAGGGGAAAGAACATTTGATAGAAAAGAAACCAAGTAAGTTGCTGAACTAACTCGCACATTAAGTGACTGGCTACAGTTTATTTTGGGGCGCAACAACCTTAAACCTGTGCGTAAACTCTATCTTTTATTGGTATCTAATTTCCTTTTTTCATCTTGAGATCTACCCCTGAAAGTAGTAGCTCATGCTGCAGAGCACTCCTCCAGGCACCATTCGCCAAAGCCTTTTTGTAGTTTCCTTACCGCTAAGTTTCCCTGTGTTTACAGGAGATCATCAGTTCTTTGCCTTCCCTGATCAACAATAAATATGGGAAGAAGGTACTGCTGTATCTACTAAGCCCCAGGGATCCTGGGCATATTGTGCCTGAGATTATTAAACTTCTACAAGAGGGTGATGGCAATGCTTACAGGTAAGGGTGGGTATTCGTTATATTTCTTGTGGCAGCAAACGAGGGACAAGTACTTCTGATCTTCAATCTCAGGATTTTCTCTTAGTTTTAATGGAACTGTTTTGAAACGATCATTTAACTTGAGGATTGTGCATGTGCAGACACCCCTGCCCCCGTTTGAATGTGCTTTGGCTGAATTCAGGTTTGCCTACAGTTGTCTGCACTGCACACTTCCCTGGAGGCACAGTACTCCCAACTTCCAATACTAAAAATGGCCACCTTCAAAGTTGTCTGGGCTCTGCTGAGATCACTTCCTGTGCATTACTTGCTATGTGAAGGAAGCACAGCTGATGTTACTTTGTAAAGGAAGTGTGCGTCTCACAGGAAGGAATATTAGGAGCACCTGACGACCCAGAAGCAGTTATTGGGACCGGTTGTCTTAATTGTTTGGGTCCAAAACATCGCATTAAAATAAGGTTACTGTGTATTAAATACAAAGATTTGTAAGATCTTCGAGTCATAATAGGATGAAACCATGGCAATTCTGAAATTTGCCGGTGTAATTTAATTCAGATATCACATTGGTTTGCTATTTTATGTTGGTGTTTAGTTAGTAAGAGCAAATTAAAAATTGCAGCTTCTGCAAAAGCAAACACTGTATATTTTAATATCTGGAACCTTTCATTTATTGTGAATTATTTCTGAATATTTTGATGTTTCCATTGATAAAATCTTGAGAAATAGTCTATTTAATAATTGTCAAGTGAATCCTCAGATTATTTGTATTGTTTTTTTTATATTTTTCTATTTTTCAGCCTAAGGGATGTGTCAACCCGGCTCAGTTGGTAGTGCTCTCGACTTTGAATCATAAGGTTGTGGGGTCAAGCTCCATGTTAGGACTTTGACTTGCACTCGGTTTAATGTGTTATCCGAAGGACTGCAATTCCAACAATGCAGTGCTCTTTAGACTCTTATGACCTCCAAGTTTTGATACGGGGCTTTCACCCGTAACCGTCTGACTCTGAGGCGAGAGTGCCGCTAACTGAGCTGGCTGACACCAAAGAATGTAATAAAATTTGTAGGTGTGTTTTATTTGAGGCACAGGGTAGAAATAACTGCAGCGTCTCTCATAGTGTATTTATTTTGTTACACTAGTAAGAAGGATGCAGAAGTCCGCCGGCATGAGCTGCTGGAGGCCATTTCACCAGCTTTACTGGAATACCTGCAGGAGAATGCTCGTGAAGTGGTGATGAACAATGCAACCAGTGTCATCGTAGCAGATATTCTGGGCTGTGCTCTTGGTGATGTGCAACCTGTGATCAAGGCTATAGCTAACGTTGCTGCAGAAACATTTGTTCCTGGAGGTCAGGAAGGCAAGGTAATGTGTAGAGTCTAGTTTATCTCTTGGCTTGGTTCACTCTTCTCTCTGGTTAGCAACTTGTGGGTTCAAGCTCCACATTAGGACTTGAGCTCACAGCCTAGGCTGACCCTTCACTGTCCATCTGAACAGCTCCTCCTTGTCTCTGACCTGCTATCTCCATACCAATCTGCTCTTGCTTTCCGCTTAGTAGGCTCTGGTCTGCTTCATGTCCCCTGACCTGCCCGCCTCACTATCGGAGGGTGGGCCTTCTTTCTGCCCTCACACTTTGGAACTCTATCCTACAGTCCCTCCCACTTGCTTCCTTGAAGTTCCATACCCTACCTTCCGTGCCATCCACCCCTCCTGATCCCAACCCCCAGCTCGGGTCCAAATCCTTGACTGTCCAGCGCCTTGGGACATCCTCCCGACGCAAAAGGCGCTATACAAATGTAATTTGCTTTTGTTGACGCTCCAAGGCAGTACTGGGGAGTAGTTAATTGTTGGAGATGCTGTTCTTCAAAAGAGATGTTAATCCAAAGTCCAGTCTGCCTGTTCAGATGGACATTAAAGATCCTATGGCAAAAAAAAAGGAACTTTCTCCCGACATCCTGGCCACTTCATGAGACTGCTGTATGCAGACTGACAGTAACGTTGGCCTTCAAAAGCAATCACTACACTTGGCAGTAATTTCCTTTGAAGCACTTCAAGATGTTTTAGTATTAAAAGTGCAAAATCAAATGCAAAATTTGGGAATACATTGTCTCCTAATCAGGGTTACAATGTTCCATTTAAACCTCTCCTACTGATTCTTGATGTCGTTGTATTTTAAATTTGGATCGAAACAGATTTATTCAAATATATTAACCTTACAAGACCAAGAGATATGTTTAAAGATTATTACTGCTCCAGGTTTAAATTCTGCCCAGGAATATCTTTCATGAACTCGATCTGCCCTTATACACTGAGGTTCTTATGCTCCGTATTAATGGATTGACCTTTCCGATTATATGACACAATTTCATTCCATCAAATTACTCACGATGTCTTAGAGGTAAATAAAATTGTTCATTGACTTTATAGTTGTTTATGGGACATTGTCGCCCACAAAATACATAGTTGCTGCACTTTACAGTACATCCTGTGAAGCGCTTTGAGTCATCAAAACAAATATTAGTAATTCAATCCACGGCTGTTTGTGGGACACTGCTATGTGCAATTGGCTGACACAAAATACACAGACTTTACAATATATTCTGTGAAGCGTTTTGAGACGTCTCAACAATGTGATAAAACAATATATCAAATGCAAGGATTATTATTCATTCAGAGAAAGATTTTTCTCCCCTTCTCTCTTGGAGTAATTTTGATGTTTTTTCATTTGTTAATCTCTCTCCAGCTCCCTCATAGAACTGACTTTTGAGCACTGATTATAGAGGACTTAAATGGATTTCAAACAGCTCAGGCACAATTGGCAAAACATCCTCCTCCTGTGCTGTGAAATGCTAGGATTTGGGGAGAGAATTCCAAAGAGCTCTATTCTTCTGCCTGTTTATAATTTTGCATAACATAAATACTGAATGGCATGTTTGCTTGACTTGTACAATGGTTGTAGAACAAAATTTCGTCCACAAAATACACAATCATTTACACAGTGATTGTGTCATACACAATACACAGTCAATCCATTTTACAATATATTCTGTGATGTGCTTTGAGACGTCTCAACAACATGATAAGGGGTTATATCAAATGCAAGTATTATTTAGAAATGTGACGTTTTCCTTTCTCTACATTTAGCTTCACATGGCAGAGCACCCTGCAGGCCACCTGGTTCTTAAATGGTTAATAGAACAGGATGGGAAGTTGAAGGAACTTGGAAAACCAGGTAGGGGAGATTGCATAAATCAGTAATAACATATGTTTCTCAAAGCTTGTTGAAACGTTGTTGGAAAAAACTTAGGCTGCCTTTCTGTCTCAGTGGCACTGTGTGTTGCTGGCTAAGTGTGCATTGGGCTGGTGGGATAAGGCTTCATACCTGCAGATGTTCACCAAGAGTTCCTGATCTCAACATGGAGCCCAGGGAGCTTAGAAGGAGGGAGGGAGATAGACCTTGGATCACTTTTGTGCACCTCTTAGAAGCAGCAAAATTCTGACTTCAAGAGAAACCTGGGAGGAGTCGTCCTTCAACCTGCTCTAAAACTGAGTACAATATAAAATTACATTTGTGCCTTTCACATCGGTGGGATGTCCCAAGGCACTGGACAGTCAGGTATTTGGATCCGAGAGGTAAGCGAGGGTGGAAGGCTGTAGGTAGGGGGGTGGTCGAAGAGGAGGCAAAGGGAATGTGGGATGGAGTTCCAAAGGGTGGGGGTGAAAAGGCTGAAGACCCGACTGCTGATGGTAGGGTGAGTCGGGGAGGGAGCGGACAGGTTGATAAGGGGTTAGTAGGTCACATAGGTAAGGCTGTGAAGTACAGAAACATACGGACCACAAACCCTCTGTCCCCATTTTTAAAACCCGCCTTAAGATCTATCTTTTCAACTACGCTTTTGGTCATCTTTTTACCCCCACCCCCTCCAGCTCGGGTGCCCAGTCAGCTGTGTGTAGCGCTTTGTGATGTCCTCCCGAACTGAAAGGTGCTATATAAATGTGAAGTGTTTAGTCACAGATTTGGTCATGAAATCAAAAGGTGAATTTAGAAGTGCAGAAAACATTTTATTTACAAGGGAAACTCCCATTTAGCTCCTTATCCAGTTTGGTAAGCTTCAGTGCACATTCATTGCCAAAATTGGGCTTTATGAAAAAGGGGGAGGAAATGAGATATGGACTTAACGTTTTAGCACATTATGTTCTATTGAGAGCTGGTGGAAGAAGAAGAGAAATAAATTTCTCTTTATTCTCTCTGGCTTGTACTTCGTTACGTAGCCAAATGTTTCTCTTACTATTTGCTTGTGATATCAGTTGTTGTTAACATGGGAATAAGGAGGGTGGAGAGGAAATGTTATCATAGATTGGGCTTGCCCTGTGGTACTGGATCCTGGGTGTGATGAGAGGTTAAACTATCCTTTTCGACGGTGTTAAATCCGTGTTAAACAGCGACGTATCAATCTTTCTGTTGAACTGTGACTGCCATTGCTTTCTTTCACTTACATATCTTTAGATCGTTGTGAATCTCTGTTTTATAATCCAAACTAACATTCTTGACATGTAGGCATTTGTATCTTGTGGCAAGTGGCCAAAATGAGAGAATTTTACTGCTCAAGTTAGTGCTGTTACTTGTCTCTGTTGCATTTAACGTTTTATAAAAGTTGCCTTTGATAAATAATCATGCCTTGTTTCAGCTAGTTTGGAAAGTTATATTTAGCTTCAATGCAGAAGAAAAGGGACATCTTTTACACTGTTGCAGCTGTATTCAGATTGAATGAACAGGGAAAGAGTTTTAGTCAACCAGCTCGTTTGCAGTAGTATGAACAGTATGAAATCCATTTGAGTATTCACTTGAAGTAAAACCTGAGCGCTGATCGTGTATTGTATGAAAAGCAATAGAATGCACCCTTGAGGAGCATTAGAAACTAGTTTGTCTGGAATCTGGATGAATACACTAATTGTTTATTTTCCAAGGTGTGTATATACCGTTTCAGGTCAGGCTCATGGCATAAGGAGAGGGTGTAGGCAGCTGAATCCTTGAATTAGGCAGAGTCTTTGAATTACTAATAAGGCACTTCTCTATTTCATCAAACTATGTTACAGCTAGAAACTCATAATAAGGGATGAAAATTATTTCATATGTGATTGAATCCTTGAAAATTTGCGGTTGAATCCAGACAATTATCAATGGTTGGATCCAAAGCCTGCAGAGTGTAACATTTGGTGTGAACCTTACTCAGTTGGTAGGATTCTCGTCTCTGAGTCAGGTTGCGGGTTCAGAATGACATGACTGAGCTCATCGTCCAGGCTGACACTCCAATGCAGTGTTGGGTGAGTGCCACGTTGTCAGAGTTCCTTCCTTCAGATGAGATTTAAACATGTCCAGTCTGCCTGTTCAGGTGGATGTTAAACATCCCATGGCACTATTCAAAACGAAAAGGGAGTTTCTCCTGATATCCTTGCCAGCAGTCCCTCCAATAATAAAATTGATCTTTCACTTCATGGCTGTGCACAAATTGACTGCCATGATTGCCTTCAAATGTATAGTCACTACACTTTACAGTAAATCCTGTGAAGCACTTTGAGACATTTTGAAGATGTAATCACGTGCAATATACCAAATGCAAGGATTATTATTTTATACTTGAGTGAATGATGAATTATGATAATTCCTTCCTTTTCTGTTGTATTGTGGGAGAAAATTCAGAATCAATTGGGTGATAGTTTCTTGAATCTGTTTTGCAGAATGCTTTGCGAGGACCTTGGTAGAGTGTGTCGGGATTGAGAATCTAAAGACCTGGGCACAAGTAAACCGTGGAGCCATTGTCCTTTGCTGGTGAGTAAGAAAGAATACTATTTCACCTAACTCAGTATATTGCAACTTTACTTTCTCTGAGTCTTTAATAGTTCTGCTCATACAGCATCCTCACTGGGCCTTTTCAATTGTTTTTACACTGGTAGTAGATTTTCTAGTTTTATTACATTTCAGAAACGTTTAAGTGTTTGAATAAATACAGCACAAAACGTACCCAGAACAGCAACAACTTGCGCGGGGTAGCCTCCTAGAACACTTAAACTAGGAATAATTGGCCTGAGGTCCAGTCCGTCATCTTAATTTGCACTAAACAATTACAGATTAAATATTCCCCCATTCTCTTCCCACACCACCATCGGTTGCAGCCACTATAGCACTAACCTCTGGAACTCCCTGCCTCAATCCCTCCACTTCGCACTCTCTTTAAATCCCATTTTAAGACTTAACTCTTTGGCCATGTCAATGGTCACGTCCCCCTTCTCCCTTGCACAGTATCCAACCCCCACCACTGTCCCGCGCTCCAAGTTGCTATTATACATGAAAGACACTGTATAAATGTAAATAGTTGTTAATACCAATAATCACCGACAAAAAAATTATTATTTGGTCATTCAATCCACAACTGTTTGTGGGACACTGCTGTGTGCAATTGATTGCTGCGTTTTGCCCACAATATATAGTCAATTAATTTTACAGTATATTCTGTGAAGCGCTTTGAGACGTCTCAATAAAGTGATAAGGCTCTAAACCTCTGGAGTAATTAAAAGCTTCCTGATGCAATTTGCAATGAAATTGTGAAATGGCAGTTAAATGGCACTGATTGGATTGCTGTGTCAAAGAACCAGCACAGACATGATAGGCCACGCGGACTTCTGTGATATAAAATTCTATGCAATTTCAGCTTTACTTATGCTGATCAAAAGGTAATTTTCTTATCTATTTATTGGTGAATTGTAGAGAGAGAGAAACAGAAGCCAAATCTCGATGTTTTCCTTTGCATCTCGATAGGTCACTGTTTAAGGTCATTCTCAATTATAGCCAGAGAGAGCAGTAGATTTTAATCAGGCCACAAGCTTCAGATTAATTCCTTTCCTTCCTGAGCTGCATACTTTACCCGCTTGTAATCCTTAGCAACACTGTAAGCAGCAATAAGAACTGGATTTATATGTGCTGCATCAATCTAAAACCAGCCAGTTTTATTCCAGTACGCTATTTTAAGACAGTGAAACTACCTTAACCATACATTAATTGCACTGGTCTGTGAATTGAACATATGGTGACCGCATTTTGTTTAACTCCTTTAATCCCCGACCTTCTGCTATCATGGCTGCTCAGTATCCCTCAGATCCACAACTTGTGTTTATGTAGCACCTGTGAGGGGTAGAGACAGGGAATTTCCAATCTTAGGGGCGACGAAGGCTCATCTACTGATAGTGGCACAGAAAGGGTGGGGTACGTGCAGTAGATCAGAGGGAGTGAGCACAGCAATACAACACAAAATTATATTTGACGCCTTTCATGTCAGGGAGGTGTCCCAATTTAAATAGTGAATTTAAGTGGGAGAGAGTGGCAGAGGAAAAAAGTTTATATAATACTAATAATTCTTACATTTGATGTCATCTTACTTTCACATTGTGAGGACGTCCAAAGTGCTTCACAGGATTGATTGTGAAGTGGAGTGACTGCATTTTGCAGGTGAACCCGGCAGCTAATTTTGCACACGGCAATTGTCCCACAAACAGCTGTGAAATGACTGATGAATGTTATCTGGGGGAATTTGGGAAAGTGAAAAATACACAATTTGAAGTGCAAAGCTGTTTTGGCAAAGCTTACAAAACCATGCAGTGAAGCAAAACAGATTTAACACTGTACAGTGGACTCTTGACGTTGTGGGTAGTATATGCCCTTGCATATGTTGCCCTTATTGGTTTCTGTTTATAAAAAAAATCTGACAACTGTATGCATGCAGAAGTATTGGCTTGTTGGTAAGTTTTGTTTCTTTGATGGTATCAAAATGGATGAAAAAGAAACCCAAGGCATCAAGTTTCAGACCCACGGAAACCGAATAGTTTTGAAAGCTCATTATGGCCTTTCAGCGTACCATGAAGTGTATCCTTTTTTCCATGTAACTATTCAAGGAATAAATTGCAGGAATAAAGGCAGGTAAATAGGCCTGAAAAGATTCTTTCAAAGAGGATGGCACAATGGGCCGAATGACATTCTGTTCTGTAAATTTCTGAAGAATATTCCGAGTTCAGGGTATATTGCTTTTATTTGATCATGTATTGCTGTTTCTTGTAACCAAATTATTTTAACAATGTTCCTTCTCTTTATTCTCCCTCCTCCCCACACGCATACACAGGCCCAATAATTCTTGTATAGTTGTACCTCTTAGATATGAAATCATTCAAGCAACATTAAATGTAGTTTAACAATTGGTATGTAACCAATTTCTCAATGGAAACCCAAAGGTTGACTCCTAGTGCTGGACTCTACCAAGCACTTGCAGTTAGTCAATGCAAGACCTAATACATTTCCTTTTTCTTTTTAAAGCCTCCTTCAGAGTAAAGACGAGGATGTCGCCAACACAATGAAAAAAGGTCTCAAGAGTCTTGTTCCAAAGCTCCAGAAGACAAAGAGTTTGAAGGGCGTGGAAATGTTGTTAGAAAAGTTGACTGCTTAAGTGAATCAAAGGAGTGTGACCCTGCTGCACCTGAGGAAACTACAGGCACAGGGCTTCAGTCAGCTGTCCAAATAATTAATTGATGTTTTATTACTAACCAACTGTCCTATACGTTCAGATGCTTCAAGCACCAGCTCCCAAATACATTTAATTGAGGAATCTGCCATCGCAGCAGGCGATTATTAAGGGGAAGGGGGTGTGAAGGCTGAAACTGGCGTTAATGTTAGTAAGTAAACCTGGAGGAAGTTTTTGTTTTTATGCAATAAATTATGTATTTCTCACTTGATCTGAACTGCAAAAGAATTTGCAATTCTTTACTAATGCCTTCTATGTTGACTATACTTTTATTGCTTTTTTCCTCTTCAATTCTTTCTCAAGCAGAAATAGAATCTTACATTGATCTGAACTCATTAATTTCACTGGCTTCAGCGAGGGAACAATACACAGTATTAATTTATCATCAAAGCTTTCATTTATTATTTATAGTGAGTCCACTCCCCCCGGCTGTGACGCAGAAGACTATAGGTTCAAACCCCACACGTCAGAATGTAGAATTTAACAACAACCTGCATTTATATAGAGCCTTCAAGCAGATAACATCCCAGAGTGCTCGACTGGAGGAGAATCTGACACCATCAAAAACGAAGGTGTGGAGGGAGGGGGCAAGGCAGAGGCTGGAGTCCTGTAGCTCAGTGGTTAGAGCACTCGCTTTGCAAGTGAGAGACCTGAGTTCAATTCCCGGCAGGGCAAAACCTTGGGCAAGTTTCCTTACTCCACATAGAGCCTAATAATAATCCCTCCAAAACCAAAANCAATAATAAATTGGTCATTTTCAATCTACGACTGTTTGTGGGACATTGCTGTGCACAATTGGCTGCCGCGTTCGCCCACAAATATACAGTCAATTCACTTTACAGTGTGTTCTGTGAAGCGCTTTGGGACGTCCTCCCGACGTGAAAAGCGCTATATCAAATGCAAGGATTATTATTATTATTGAGGAAGAGATTCCAGAGGTTCGGGGCACAGTGGCTGAAGGTACAGCCACCATTCATGTTCCAGGCTGGCAGTGCTGGGGGAGAATCTCGTTGGAGGTGCTGAGATCTTGTTTCCTGTTCAGACTGACGTTAACGATCCCATTCTAGGCAACAATCCCCTAGGTAAAATTGGTCAAAAATAATCCTTGCAGTTTCCACAGCGCCTTATCACATCTTCAAGACGTCTCAAAGCGCTTCACAGAATACAAGTAAAGTGTACTGACTGTTTTTTGGGCGAAACACAATAGCCAATTGCGCACAGCGACGTCCCACAAACAGTCGTGGATTGAGTGACCACATTATTATTATTTTGAAGGGCTTATTACCCCCAGAAACCGATCCGCCGATTGACTAACAAGCGGGTTCCTACATACTGCTGGTAAACAGGCATGTGTGTGTGTGTGTGTGGAGTAAGGAAACTTGCCTAAGGTTTCGCCCTGTCCTGGGAATCAAACCCAGGTCCTCTCACTTGCCAGGGGAGTGCTTCAAGCACTGCTACAGGACTACACAAAACACACAGATGTTTCAGCTCTCAGAGAGAGAGAGGGAAGTTTCATAGCTGCTTGCAGGACATTGAGGTGAGCAAATTGGTTGCCATGTTTGGCTACAAATCCAGTCACAACACTTGGCAGTAAATCCTTTGAAGTGCTGTGAAATGTTTTGATGATACTGCCTGCACAGATTATTATGAATTAATAATAATAATCCTTGCATTTGATATAGGAGTGCCTCCGTCCATATCGCACTCCTAAAGATGCCGAAAAAAAACCCTGTCCATGCTTTCATCACCTCCCGCCTTTTTTTCTTTTCAAGTATATATCCAAACACCTTTCCGTGCTGGTATCTGAGCTGCCATAAACTAAAGCATAATACTAAAAATAGATAACAGCTGAGGGTCGTACCGCCTCTCTCCATGGTATTCGCCCTTGGAATAGGAACAAATGAGGTTGCGTCCAACCTCATCACTGAGAAGAGCTCAGACATTATCCTACATGAAGGCACTATAAATACAAGGCATTGTGCTGTTGATAATCCAGCCTACTGAGTCTAGCGTGGCAATCCTTTACACTCCATATATGTTGGTGTAAGACATAATTTCAACTTGTATCAGGATTTCCAGCCATTTACTTGTAACAAACGGAGTGGCACAATTCATTCACGCCAATACGTGGAACATGCATATGGTCCAGACTCTTCATGTTTGTGTCATCCTGGCTCAGTTGGTAGCGCTCTCACCTCAGAGTTGGAAGGTTGTGGGTCCAAGCCCCACTTCAGAACTTGGAACTCCCCTCTGCTAGGCTGATACTCAATGCGGTGCTAGGGGTGTGCGACATTGTTGGAGATGCCGTCCTCCAGATGAGATATTAAACCGAGGTCCTGTCTGCCAGTTCAGGTGAATGTTAAAGATTCCATGGCACTAGTCAAAATGTGAAGAGTTATTCCCGATGGCCCGGCCAACAATCCCCCAACCAAGATTGATCACGTGCTTCATGGCTTTTTGTCGGACATTGCTGTGTGTAAATTGGCTGCCATGTTCACCTACAAATGCAAAGTACACTTTATCGTAAATCCTGTGAGAAACTGAGCGCAAATTGGCTGCTGCTCTTTCCAGGAATTGCCGTGAAGCTCTGAGATATCTAAATGATGTGAAAAGGCACTATATCAAATGCAAGAATTTTTATGATTATTGATAGTATTTGATTTACAATCTAACCTGGGAGTAATGAGCGTTTCAGTGCCAAAACAGAATGCAGTATCTCTTTGTGACCAGAGCAATTAGACTTCAGCATTATTATAGTGGTGACAGACTGTAAGGTTACATTGGCTTTGAAATTTGAAAACTCTTGTTGCAATAGACAATACAGATTGGTCGGACGGAGGGAGGGAAGGAGGGAGGGGGTGGTGTGTCCGTGATGATAGAAGAATAACTGGAAGGATCCATAATAATTAATGTAAATATAAATTTAGGAGCTGCCATCTGTTGAGGATAAGATGCAATCACCCTAAGGTAGGTTGCAATGAGCTGAAACTACCATGGTTTTGGTGACTCAGCCTTAGAGCATTACTTTGAAGCTTTCATGCATAAGTGATGCATCTGAACGAGCTACTCTGAAGAGGTAACAGACGGTAGTGAAGCAAGGAACAATAAAACATCAAAGGAACCCAACATATAAATCATATATACTGATTTACACTTTTTTTTACATTGCTCGCTGCCAAAGTTAGAAACCAAATAGTGGAGCTTGGAACAAGGGCTTATACAATTTACATTTATATAGCGGCTTTTACGTCAGTAAAACATGTATCTCAAAGAGCTTTACACAGCTGGCTGGGTAGTCAACCCTTAGGGGGAGTTGGCAGATGACTGAAAGTGTGGTCAAAGAGGCAAGTCTTGATGTGGAGTTTGATAGTGGTGGGGAGAGGAGGAGGTGAGTCAGGGTCTCCGGAATGGAGTTCAGGAGAGCAGGGCAGAAATTTGGAAATAGGACATGAAGCAAGATGAGTTTGCTGAGCAATGAGAACAGCTGGGTTGTTTGGTCTACAAGAGGCGGTAGAGCTAGAAGTAGGGTGAGGCAGTGCAGGGATTTGGTGCGCGAAGGACGATCTTGAATTTGATCTGCTGGAGAATGGAGAGCCAAGTGAGGATGGGAGTGATAGGCTCACAGAGCCTGGATATGCGGTGAAGTGGGCGGTCATATTATTGTATAGCCATGTTTTTTTAAGCAATATTCCAAGGTGCTATTGAATGAAATAAGTTCCTATCTGTATGAGGAAGAAGCAGTAAGGGTTCCTACTGTAAGTAGGAACCCAGTTGTTAGTCATTGGCAGATCACTTTCCGGAGGGAATAAAAGAAAAATAATTTGGTCGCTCAGTCCACAACAATTTGTGGGACACTGCTGTGTGCAATTGGCGACTGCATTTCTCCCAGAAAATATACAATCAATTCACTTTACAGTATATTCTGTGAAGGGCTTTGAGACATCTCAACAATGCAAAAAGACTTTATATCAAATGCAAGGATTATTATTAGTAGTAGTAGTTTAGTTGTAGTTAGGCTGAACAGGTTAATGTGAGGTTCTAGAGTGTATTCACATCAGTTTGGCTGTGAAATCAAAGATCATTCGAGAGTATAGGAGCTTTGAGGCCCAGTCAGGCCATTAACGTAAAGAGAGGTTGATATTACCAGTCTATGATTTGTTTTCTGTGTTAAGTATATCATGAAGGTATTGGGCCTTGTGCCGTGGCACATTATTTTGGTGAAAGATGCAGAGAGGAGAGCATTATTATGCATGTAACAAAATACTGCAGAAATTATATGTAATCCTTTTCAACCCATATCGATATTTTTAAAATACAAATGGTGTTAGCACACAATGTATATTGAGGACTGTTGCAAGAGGCAGGAGGAGCAGGCTCGAGGGGCCGAATGGCCTACTCCTGCTCCTAATTCCTATGTAAGAGAACTGTGTCATCTGTGGAATCTGACCAGTCAGGGACAAATCATGTATATTGATATTCTGGGGTTTTCATTCAATTTCATCCAATATGGAGCCTTTCACTTCAGGAGGACGTCTTAAAGCGTTGCACAGGATATACAGTAAAGTGAAGTGATTATTTTCTAGGCAATTGCAGCAGTCAATTTGCGCACAGGAATGTCCCACAAACAACCAGGAAGTGAATGTTTGTGGGAATTTAAAAATCAACTAATGTTTTTATGGATTTTTGCCTGGTTCCCTGGGGAACGCATTTTGGAAGAATTCATGACAATATAAATTACTTATACTGAAGTCCAAAAGCATTGGATTGTGTGAGCCAAATAATCTAGCCTCATTCTATACTTTCTAACTTACTTTGTGCCAATACAGGCGAATTATAAATTATAATCCAATCACTGGCCTGGATTTTTCATTTTCTAAAGAAACGTTGAATATCAAAATATTTGTTGTCAATTTACAAACTAGCGCATCATTTTATATTTACTTCCTTCTTGGGGCATCCCTCACAATTCCTTATAACATAACAATTAATATAATATTATGTTATAATAACAGTGTGATAAGGTGCTACATCAAATACAAGGATTATTACTATTATTATTAGGTTTAAATTCTGGAGATTCAGATTTTGAAACTACTCCACTTCAGGCTATGAGGTGTTCATGAGTTTCTTCAAACCTGGGACCTGATTACTTGTAATTGTGTTACTATGCATTACTACAAGATTACAGGAAGCATTTAATTACTTGGATTTAATCCTGGATTTAATTGACCGTGACATCAATACCATGGGTTTCCGCAAGAGTATATAATAAACTCGTCTTGGCATGTTGAAGCCCTCTTATTTTGGGTGCTGCAGAATTGTTTAATTGGCATTAAATAAGAATTTATAATTAATGAGTATCTTCAAAGATTAGCGACTGATGCAGAGATGAAAGGCACAGACAGATACGTATAATCAAATTGCAATGATTTAATTCACATTCAAGTTAATCAAGGAAAAGGGCAATGAATAAATACAGAGAGCTGGGAATGCATTGGATACAGCCATTTGTGACACAATTGCCCCTAAAGCACCGAATGTATTGTAGATGATTTTATTTACAACTACAGACTAAAACTCCAGCTGTGAAGCCACCAGACAGCACAAACAAGATGTGCTAACTGTTATTCTTGGGCCACTCGTATTATGACTTAGATGTAAGGGTTGCAAAATGTGACATTTCTTGACAGATTTGATGTGGTAACAGGAGAGGGGAGGGAGAGAGAGGAATTATCAATAGACACTTAACAGCAAGGTAGTAATTAATGATTTTAGTTAAATAGATTAGTCTTGTCCAAGGATGGAGCCCATTAATCATCTACTTGATTTAAAGAGGCTGTAAGATTTAACGGGGGTTTACAAAGAAACATGCCTTCTTAACAATCAGTAAATTGCACATCGTGGGTGTAGAATTCTGATTAGGCTGTGCTTCAAGGGCAAACATGGGAACATTCAGTCTGAAGGTTTTCCTTCACTTTGTGAATAAAAAGCTGTCTCTGTCATTTTACAAGTGTACAGATCACCATCTTCTTACTCCTGAATCAGTACCGCAGAATTCAACGAGAAACTATCAGCGTTTTCAGCCTCACCAAAAAAACACATTATATGCTCACATATAATAATAATAATTCTTGCATTTGATATATGAGCTACCAAGTCATCGAGATGTCTCAAAGTGCTTCACAGGATTTACTGTAAAGTGTAGTGACTGTATTTTGTAGGCAAACGCGGCAGCAGATTTGTGCTTGACAATGTCCCACAAACAGCCATGAAGTGAGTGACCAATTTTATCTGGAGGATTTTTGGCTAAGACACTGGGAGGAACTCTTCTCTTTCGAATAATGCCATGGGATCTTGTAATGTCTATGAACTTTCACACACTGACTTATAGAGAGGACTCAGGCTGACCCATGTGAACAATTTTGCTAGGACTGGACTTGATAACTAGGTTAACAGAGAAAGAATGGCCACATGAAGTGGATCTTGGACGGCAGCTGCCAACGCTTTTTTATTCATCTTGGGATGTGGGTGATGCTTGTTGTCTTGCTACCACCTGTTGCCACCACTCGACTGGCCTCCGGCCTCCTGCTTGTCCCTTGTCTCATCCGTTCCACCTTCAGTGGCCATGCTTTCAGCCACTATGTCCCAAAACTCTGAACACTCTACCTCAATCCCTCAATCTTCCCCCTCCTTCCCCATCTTCAAGTCGCAACTGAAGACCTTCTTCTTCGACCGTCCTTATGGTCACCTCCTCCTGACTTGGCGTTGTGTACTGCCACTGTCAAGCTTGCTTGGATTCTACCCTGAGGGGCAGTGTGTAAATGCAGGTTGTTATTGTCTTCAGCGGCTTGCTAGGCCATTTCCCAGGGCATTAGGAGTCAACTACACAGTGTGGGACTGCAGTCATGTGTAGAATAGTACAATTAAATATTCTTATTTGTTTCAGTAATTAGAAATACGCTGCAATGTCCTCTGCCTCCACTCATTACCAGAATTAGTGTATGTCAGAGAATGTCTCAGGCAAAGAATTCTTGAGAACTGAAAGTGGGAATGTTAGTGGCGATGATCTGAGATTTCAGCTTTTAGAAAGAAAGCGTCTCTTTCTGAGCAAGGTTGACAGTCAGTACAATGGCTTCATTGCTTCAAGTGGGAGTAGGAGTCCGGCAGAGCAAATTATGTCATTGTCCTGTGCCCCCACGTCTGATTGAAAGGCAGCCTTACAGGCTGAACATTAGTTACTGATGTGGTACTTTTTTAACTGGATAAGCAGAGTGAAATTTCAACCGAGCTTCACACAGACATCAGACAGAGCACACAGGAGGAAGCAAATGCGGAGTCAAAACATTTCTTAAATTTTCAGCTAATAAACGTGACTGTTCTCATTATCAGCCTGACTCAGTGGTAGCCCTCTGCATCAGAAGGTTGTGGGTTCAAGCCCCACATCAAGACTTGAACTCACGTAATCTAAGCTGACACTCCACTGCAGTCTGGGGGTGAGTTGCATTGTCGGAAGCGCTGACCTTTGAATGAGATATTAAACTAAGGCTCTGTCTGCCTTTTCAGGTGGATATTAAAGATCCTATGGCACTAATTGAAGTGAGAAGAGTGTTTCTCCCAATGTCCTGGCCAACAATTCTCCAAATAAAAAAAATTGGTCATTTAATTGATGGTTGTTTGTGGGACACTGCTGTGCACAAATTGGCTGCTGCAGTTGTCAATTTAGACTATATGAGTTCATGTCACGACATGGGGCTTGAACCCCCAATCTTCTGACTCACACTGTGTAGTTGACTCCTAATGCCCTGGGAAATGGCCTAGCAAGCCACTGAGCCTGGGAGACACACAAGGAGAACAGTTACTCTTTATAACAGAAATGTAAGAAACTTTTTGACACTGCACTTGCTTCCTCCTATAATGCAGCGGCCAATTTGTGCACAACAATGTTACTCTACATCACAGTAAATCTTGTGAAGCATTTTGTGACAGCCTTCTGATTGAAACATGCTCTACTAAATGCAAGGATTATTGTTATATTTGGGGAGTCCTTCCAACATGAAAGGTGCTATATAAACGTAAATTTGTATTGTACTTGACACAGCAGATCATACTCTGAAGAGTCAAGTGGAACAATAATAAGTCTTATATTGTATTTGATATTGCGTTATAGACTGTTTTAAAGTGCTTCACGTTTTTACTATAAAGTGTAGTAACTTTGTATCTTAGTATATTTTGTGCACAAACTCACAAAGCAATGTCCCAAAAACAGCCATGGAGTGAATCACCTTTACCTGGGGATTGGTTGGAAAGTGGTGAAAATCCCAAATAGTGCCATGGGATTTTTAACACCTCTTGGCTTGACTCCTTCCATCACATATGAGGCGCTCCACCAGCATTGCATTGGAGTGTCAGCCTTGTCTGATCTCTGCGTCAAAAAAGCAGCTCGATGCATGGGAGTGTTTTTGCTAATGGTTCAGATCACTAGTTACTGCATGATTCCTCGGTGCATCGTTCCTCCAGTAAGATTTGTGAATTTGATTGCTTGTTAAACACAAGCCATGTCGCTGCACGTCAGCGCATTATGTTACAAGAGGAATGGTTCAAAGTCACTATGTAACTGTGAATTGTGTTGTATTTTGTACCAACCGTTTTATGGCAGCAAGTCACGTGTACTTCACTCGATTATAATACAGAATCATTTATTTCATTTTTTTAAAAAAATTATACTCAAGGTACAGCACTGACCCAGTTACATTAAATTGCTTCAGATTTTAATTAAAAAGTTCCTTGAGTTGCACAATTTTACATTGACTTCCTCCAATATCCATCATAATTGTACTGAATCCACCCTTCAATGCCAACACATCCAATCTGGATCAATCCCAGTCCCTCTGCAGTGACACAATTACTGATTTGGCTGTGAAACAGACACTGTATCCATCACTCAGCCTGAGGATAAGATGATAAAAATAGTCAAAATAAATACTTTATGTTCTGCCAACATTCTCAAGAATGTTTGTCACTGGGGAAATTATCTCAACTTTTAGTATTTAGATGTGAGGTGAAAAAAAACATACTTTTTACCATAACATCGTAAGTGTTTCACAGGTAATTGTTATCAGGTGCAATGAAAACCAACTGAGCAGTTGTATGCTCCAACATAGGGGGCCCACAAACAGCCATGAAGTGAATATCCAATTAATCTGGAGGATTGTTACCCAGAACACCTGCCACTTTTCAAAATAGTGCAGTGGGATCATTCACTTCAGCAGGCATCCCGTTCAATAATAAGAATAATAATTATCCGTGTATTTGATGTAGCGCCTTATCAGAACTCTTAAAAGCGTGAAGAAAGCAGCCCAGGTAAATTATTGATCTTGGCAGTATCAAGGAATTTAAATGAACTTATCTAAATTAATAGATGCCATCACTATGCCTCTCTCACTCAAATTGCAAACAAGTTAATTAAACTCTCACACTACCAGAGGAAGAAGGCCCTTCAACCCACTTGATACTTGCTTGGAAACTAACTTCCCATTCAGCACTTTACCAAAGGCCATTTGAAAATCTTGGCTTCTCAATGTCAAAATAATAATATTCCTTGCATTTGATATAGCGCTGCATCATGTAATTAAAATGTCTCAAAGAGTTTTACAGAATATACTGTAAATTGAATTGACTGTGTATTTTGTGGGGGAAACGTAGCAGCCAATTGCACACAGCAGTATCCCACAAACAATTGTGGATTGAGTGACTCAATTGTTTTTTGAGTGATCATTACTCCCGGAAAGCAATCCGCCAATCAACAAACAACAGTGTTTCCACTTATTGCTAGGTAAAAAGAGACATGTGGAGTAACAAAACATGCCTAAAGTTTCACCTTGCCCGAGAATCAAACCCGGGTCCTTTCACTTGCGAGGCGAGTGCGCTAATCAATAGGCTAAACTACAGGACTTCAACAGGAGAAAGACATTCAAGGGACTGTACAGAACACCTCCAAGAATGGAGCACAACACTGGAGCATCAGCAGAGGTGCTCAAAGCTTCTTGTGGAGATTGAACCCACACCCTGCTGACCCAGTGCTACCAACTAAGCTAGCTTTTTTTTAAAAAACATTTTTAACTTTTGAGAAAGTCGAACTGGCAAAGGTATGTGACTGTCAGAATTTCTAGATGCTGCAGAATCAAAATCAGGCAAAAAAAAACCTCAAGGTGGTAGGAATTCATTAATGGAGACTGCCATAATTCATTCAAGCAGAAATCTCAGTACAGCTTAGTACACTTTGAGAAAATAGATACATTTTGGACTACAGCATGTTTAAACTTATCCATGGTAAGTGTGCAAAAAAACAGTACTGTCACAACCATCAGGGGCATTGAATAATTAAAGACCTCACCTTTCGATCTCGGACTGGGACTCAAACAAGCAGCTTATTGCGTAAGCTGCAGCTCTATCCAATACATTGAAGTCAAGATCCTCGTCCTCACTTTCAAATCCTTCCAAAATCCCTCCATGGTCTTGCCCATCTTATCTCTAATACCTCCTCAAATCTTACCAACCCAGCCAATCCCTTCGCTCGGTGGGCACCAACCTGCTTCATGTCCCCAGTTCAGGTGTCAAGATAGGACTGCCAAGCCCCTTGAGACATCCTCCCGACGTGGAAGGCGCTGTATAAATGTAAATTTGTATTGTATTTATGTATTGTATCTGGGCTGTCCCTCAGGCTAATATCCAAAAAAATCTAAGACCTATAAGCTCGGAAACTATTCAGAAGACTTCTCTTTATTCTCTTCTCTTTATTTCCTTCCCTTTCAAGACACAATATTGAGGATATCGTCTTGATCTTTTCCTTGAATTGTGCTGATGGAAGGTTTTATCAAGATCCCTGTCGTATCTCTTGACAGTGAAAAGCACACACCACTTTCACCGTCTTTCCCAGGGGAATTTACTACTCTCTTGGCAGGAGGTGATGAGGGACCCCTCCACAGCATTCAGCTATCTTCCTCATTGCTCTATCTGAAAAGTTAATCTGGCCTCTCTGCTGCTGTTTTGTTGTGTATTCGTTGCTTTTGAGCTTTGTGTAGTAGTCTGAGAATTTATTGTACAGGATGGAGATTGGCATGCCGTTTAAGATGATCCCAAAAGCAATGCAGCCAAATGCGAAAAACCTTCCCAGGAAAGTTTCTGGATACACATCTCCGTAGCCTACTGTGGAGATGCTGACCTGCAATCAAAGAAAATCCTCACTCAGATGGTACTCTTTAAAAATATGTTCATGCAAAAAAATTAAATTATGGTCACTCAATCAATGACTCTTTGTGGGACATTGCTGTGCATAATTGGCTGCTGCATTTCATCCACAAAACACAGTCAATTCACTTTACAGTGTACTCTATGAAGCGCTTTGAGATGTCTCAATGATGTGATTAAGGCGCTATATCAAATGCAAGGATTATTATTATTATTCATGCACATAGGCGTTTTGGGACAATGACTTTGGGACGTCCTTCCGACTTGAAGGGTGTATATATACGTAAATGTAATTTTGTTGTTTTTAACAAGTATTCCTGCCATACAACACAGAGTAAGGAATTGTCATTTCCTTCCAATGGGTGTAGAAGGGTTACGAGCATGGCTTTATGATAGCATCTGCTAGGTGGCCACAGATATAGAGATGGAAAATATAGGGTAATAATTGGAGATTTCTGAGGTAAAGCCAAAACACAACTAAGTAAATCCAGGAGGAGGGTATTATATGATTCAGGGATAGAATAGGGAACTGGAATTAGGATGGTTGCCCTCTTGAAGAAGCAAATGTCAACACAAAAAAAAGCAAGTCATATGACCTCCAGGCTTGTTGTACATTTCTTTGGTACTATGGGTTTGACTGGGAGCAGAAACAAGGTGACAAGACATGGAACCAATTGATGGAGAAAGGCAGAACTGAGCGATGAAGGAAAGAATAGAATCCATCAGTGAAATTGGACTTACAGTGACATAGGAAATTATGTAAATAGAAGCTTGGAAAGTTTACATTACAGCAGGAGTCTATTGGCCCATTGGCAATCCAGGTTAGATTACGCTAACTCTCTGCTTGTCAGTCTTCCCAAATCTTCCTCCAAATTGCAGATTATTCAGAATTCTGCTGCCCGCGTCATCTCCCGCACCAGGCTCCGTGACCCTATCACCCCCATCCTAGTCCAACTCCACTGGCTTCCCGTCACACAGAGAAGCAAGTTCAAAATCCTTGTCCTTGCTTTCAAAACCCTCCACAACCTTGCTCCCCACTACCTCTGTGACCTGCTAACCCCATACTGGCCCTACTGATCTCTCCGCTCAGCGGACTCTGGTTTACTCCACGTTCCTCCACCCTGCCTGCCGTACCATCAGCGGTTGGGCCTTCAGCCTTTCTGTCCCCACGCTTTGAAACTCCATCCCACAGTCCCTTTCAAGACCTTCCTCTTTGACCGTGCCTTCGGTCAACCTTGTGCCTCTACTCTCCCTGCCCTCCATCCCTCCTGATCCCAACTTCCAGCTTGGGCGTACATCCTTGACTATTCCAGCACTTTGGGATATCCTCCCATTATACAACTGTAATTTGTTATTGTTGTGTCTGTGATGGCTATCATAGCCTGGTGACTGATGGAAAGGACTGAAAAGTAAAATACAACCTACTAATGGTAAAGATAAAGCCCAGTGGTCACATTGAATGGTTTGGTATATTCAATGCTACAAAAAGGGACAATAAGGAATCTAATTGAAGGTAGTGTTTCTTCTACTACAGGATACTTCAGAGATGGTTCAAATTCAAGCAGTTGGGATATGGGGCTGATGTTCGTGAGTTTTCAAATAATAATTGATTGTTAATGCAACCGAAAGACCTGGGTTCAATTCCCAGCAGGGCGAAACGTTGGGAAAGTTTCCTTACTCCACACTCCTCTGTTAACATTAAGTAGGAAAGTAAGCATTAAGTAGGAGCCCGGTTGGGTTCAAATGCCAGGATTATTATTATTATTAATAAAAGCATGGTCAAAAAGATAGGATTTTAGAAAAGAGCTTTGAAAGTAGGGAGAGAAGAACAACAACAAATTACACTTGTATAGCGCTCTTCACGCCGGAAAGACATCCCAGGGAGCTGGACAATCAGGGTTTTTTGGACCCGAACTGGGAGTTGGGGGTTAGGAGGGGTGGAGGGCAGGGTGGTGGGGGTGAGAGGGTGGTCGAAGGCACAGTCTTTAGACGGGACTTGAAAGAGGCAAGATAGGGGGTGAGGAAGAAGGATTGCGGAATAGAGTTCCAGAGTGTGGGAGCAGAGATGCTGAATGTCTGACCGCCAGTAGTGGGGTGGGAACTGTGGGGGACCTGAAGCAGGTCGGTGTCTGCTGAGCAGAGGGAATGCACAGGCTGATATGAGGTTAGGAGGTTGGAGAGGTAGGGAGAAGCAAGACCGGGAAGGGCTTTGAAGGTGAGAACAAGAGTTTCAAACTCAATATTCTGAGGGATGGGGAGCCAGTGAAGCCAGGCAAGGATGGGGTTGATAGGTTCCCGGAGCCTGGTGCGGGAGAGGACACGAGCTGCCGAGTTCTGAATGATCTGCAGCTTGTGGAGGGAAGAGTTGGGAAGTCAAGTAAGCAGGCAGTTGGCGTAGTCAAGCCGGGATGTAATGAAAGCATGGATCAGGTTCTCGTCGGTATGCGGTGAGAGGCAGCGGTGGAGGCAGGCAATGTTGCACAGGTGGAAAAAGGCGGAACGGGTCTCAGCACGAATGTGGGGTTTGAAGGATAGCTTTGAAATTACCAAGGTGGAGGAATTTTGGTTGTGAGTTTCAGAAGAAGGAAACACAGTGGCTGCAATATGTTCAGACACTGAGCAGCTGAAGAGCAAACACTATGGATCTGTCCAGTTGAAGGCTGTTGGGAGCTGCATTTTACATTAATTATAATAATCCTTGCATTTGATATAGCACCTCATCAAGTCATTAAGAAGTCTCATAGAATATACAACAACAACAACTTGTATTTACAAAACGCCCTTCACATGGGGTAGCGTCCCAGACCGCTTCACATAAAGTGAACTGTAAAGTGTAGTGACTTTCTATTTTGTGGGCACACAGCAATGTCCCATAAACAGTCGTGGATTGAGTAATCAATTTTTTTTTTCCCGAGGGATTATTACCCCTGGAAAAGTGATCTGCCAATCGACTAACAACCGGTTTCTTACTTACTGCTAGGTAAACAGATGCATGTGACGTAAGGAAAATTGCCTAAGGTTTCACCCTATCCTGGAATCAAACCTTCGCTTGCGAGGCGAGTTCTCTAACTAATATGCTACAGGACTCCACAAGGAAAATAAGTGTGAATAGACACATACAGGAAATAAATAAACTGGACAAGTGTAAAAAAAACACGAAGACTAAAGAACAAGGCACAAACAGAAACATGCAGAGGAACTAAAATATTAAAGAAGTGCCAAACATCATTTAGGTACATTAAGGGGGAAAAAAAGGAATCACACTGTCAAAAGTAAGGACAGCAAAAAAGAATAGAAAATAAAGTTTTTTCTTAATAAGTAAAACCTGATAGGCATGTGGAACAAACGACCAGCAGAGATGATGAAAAGTAACTACTGTATAAAGCGTTTTAAAAAGGAAGTAGACCATTTCTGTCAGTTAAGAGGATTTGGGATTATGAGATTTAGAAATAGGAATATTGAATTATTGATTGCAGTATGTTCATACACTCAATCCACAAATGTTTGTGGGACACTGCTGTGTGCAATTGGCTGCCACTTTCGCCCACAAAATACACAGTCAATTCACTTTACAATATATCCTGTGAAACCCTTTGAGACGTCTCAACAATGTGATAAGGCACTATATCAAATGGAAGGATTGTTATCATTATTGGTTGGGTCGACAAGATGTACCAATTACCTACTCCAGCCTGAAATGGTTACTATGTTACTGACTGTATCTTCTTCCATATCTGTTTCCTTCTTGTCTGTTATATCAAACCCCACTCGCGCTGTGTCATGAACACTGCATTTCATTAGACTGTCTGCTCCCTCAGGATCCTTGGTTGTGGCAGCTCCTTGACTGGGTTAACCCTGCCCACATTTGCTAGTTTAAAACCCAAACTTAAACTAATTCATTGGGTGCTCCAAGATACCGAACCTGGACAACAACTTTATGTATCTCAATAAATATTTTAGCACTTAATCTGCATCATGAGTATTTCAGTGCCCAGCTTTTGAACTCCAATGACTAATGAGCACTAAATATGAAGAAAAATATTGAAAATAGCAATTGATAAATAAAACATTGAGGATTATGGAAGTAAGTGTATCCGATACTTATGCCTAATCATAGATCTTATTTGTTTCCTCGCGTAGGGAGAATAGAGATTTATGTGACATTATTATTCTCCACTTTTAACACACCCAGTGACAATAACTGTCGCCTCTCACGATAACAACAACCCCTCACACAGGGTAGTCCCAGAGCGCTTGACAGTGACGGAGCATGTCTCTGAGCTGGGGAGTAGTGGAGGTGACTGTAAGCACGGTCGAAGAGGAAGGTCTTCAGGCTAAAGTTTTCACTACTACCACTAAGGTTAAATCCGTGAACTTCAATACAGTTCCTGGGTGTGCTGACAAGACACAATGTCTCATAATTGGGGACACATTATCTCTACAATGTCAATTTCGCTCTGAGGAGCCTTAAGAATGGCTGGAGTGGAACAGAGGAACATTCAATCATATTTGGTGCAATTAAGCGTACCTTTCTGGAGTTAAAACACATTTTAGGTAGAGGACAGATAGCTTTACTCAGCACCCACAAAATACAGTCAATCTACTTTACAGTATATCCTGGAAAGTGCTTTGAGATGTCTCAATGATGTGATCTGGCACTACACCAAATGCAACGATTATTATTTATTATTATTATTAACCCTGATTTAAGAATGATTTATGCTGACAATGAGCATGGTGTTCCATAGAACTGATGTCTTCCCTAAAGTATAATTGTCAAAATTTACACTCAATGTTTATTATTCCGAAGTATTTCACAGTTGGAAATAATATTAACAATAATAATCCTTGCATTTGATAATAGTACCGGTCGTTGTGACATCTCAAAGCGCTTCACAGATATATTGTGAAGTGAATTGACTGTTTTGTGGGTGAAAAGTGGCAGCCAATTGCACACAGCAGTGTCCTACCAACAGACATGGATTGAGTGGGCTACATTTTTTTTTATAAAGGGATTATTGCGCCCAGAAAGCGATCCGCCAATTGACTAACAACCAAGTTCCTACTTACTACTAGGGAAACAAAGGCATGTGGAGTAACAAAACTTGTCTAAAGTTTTGCCCTGCCTGGGAATAAAACCTGCGTGCTTTCGCTTGCGAGGCGAGTGCTCCAACCAACATGCTACAGGACCACACAAGTTGGTACTCACAGCAGCCCACCACCAGGAATGGGGTATGCTTGTAAAATTGGTCCCGGGAACGTCGTGCTCTACGGAGAAGACCAGAGCAGAGAAGGAGAATATTCCCATGGCGATGAAGAGGAAGAGGCAGCCAACCTGCTGGTAGCATTGCTTCAATGTAAAGCCGAACGCCCTGAGCCCTGTGGAGTGTCGGGCAAGCTTTAAGATCCGAAAGATCCTCATCAACCTCATGATCCTGAGCACTTGGCCCATTTTGCCTACTTTGACCACTGTCTCGATGTCCTGGTCAAGGCCCTTGTGGTTCTCGTCCAGGAAGCACTCCAGGATCAACTGCAGGTAGAAGGGGAAGATAGCGATGAGGTCAACGGTGTTCAGGACGCTTCTGGTGAACTGCCGGATGTCAGGCGTGCACAAGATTCTCAGAAGGTACTCGAGGGTGAAGAAAATGATGCACAGGGTCTCCAGATGCTCCATGTAGGTATGGCCGCTGAGTTGACCAGCTGCACTTGTGTATTGCATCTCCTCCACTGTGTTCATAGCCATGCCCACAATGGAGACTAGCACGAAGCTGCTGGAAGCCACTGCCATCATCTTGGCCGTGACCGAGGAGAAGGGTTTCTCCATCAGGTTCCAGATGATCCTCCTTTGGTAGCCATAGATCATGTCCCTGAAGTGCTCCTCATCCTCCTCCACCTCGATCTCTGCCTTTAGCTCCCGCTGCAACTTCAGCTGTTCGTTCAGCTCGTCCTGCCTTTCCTCGAAAGAGATCCTACAGCACCGGTTGCTGTTCTTGATCCTCACGCCCCAGTAGTGAATCTCCTCCAGGAAATTCCTGGGGCAAAGCTCGTCCTTGATCCACAGCACACCCGTCCTATAGAAGCTGAAAATGTGCCGGAAGACCTCGGGGTCGCGATCGAAGAAATACTCATTGTTCAGCACGCTGTAGTCATCGCACAGATCTAGCTTCCTGGAGGGGTCGGTGTAGGTGGCCAGCCGGCCAATCCTGGTCTTGGGGAAGCGGGCTGCTGCCCGGTAGGTGATCTGGAAGTTGGTGCCCCCCACGTTGATGTTGAGGATGTAATTCTTGATGGGCGAGGAGGGCTTGAATTGCGGCAAGGTTGGAAGCTCCTCGTCTGACTCAGATTCGTCATCGTACTTGATCTCATAGATGGCAGAGCCCAGATCCTGCAGGGAGCTCCACTGCTTCACCGAGCACTTCTTGGCCAGCGGCAGGAGGCGGTCAGTCGAGGACCTGCGAGCCTCACTCGTGCTCTCGCCGAGTTTGCAGTTGGCAAAAAGGCTCTGGCGCCTTCGTTTGAGTTGCAACATTTTTTCTCTCCCTCACAGCTCCCCTTTGCTTCTAACTTGCTCCCCAGGTTGGGTGGTGACTGTCGAGAGTCAGTGAGTGACTGATTGACTGAGTGATTGAGAGAGTGAATGACTGACTGATTGAATTTCTGAGTGAGTGTCTATGTGAGTGAGTGGAAAGTTTGCTCGGTGGAGCAGCAGTGTGGACTCTCAGCACTGCTTATCCCATTTGATGTGCTGACAGAGAGGATCTGGGAGCTTAAGCAAAGATTTAAAATATTTATCCCGTTTCGGCTGCTTTCCCTGGCAGCCACTGCCTAACATCTCCAATTTGCACTCAGTCTTTATTATTGCTTGTGCCCAGGGCTGGGTGAGAGGATATTGTCAGTCTGGGGGCTGAGAACAGAGTTCTCACTGGCTATACAGTATAACATGAGCACAATTTCACTCCTTGCCATTAACACAGTATTAACTCAATGTCAGGAATGTGAGTACTGCGTTCCCTTTTCCCAAAACATTTTGTTTCTCTCTCTCCTCTCCATCTTTTTCTTTATTTCTCCTGTTCATTTCTTTTTACTAATTTTCTCTCCTTTTTTGTTCCAATTCACCTCTTTTACTGCATTTCTCCCTGTTTCTATTCATCTCTTTTCCCCTTTCTCTGTCCATTTTCCCTCATTTACTCGGATTTCTCCCTTTCTCTGTCTTGTTCTTGAACTGTTTTCAATCATGCATTTACATTTTTATCACCTGCTTGGTTTTATCTTTTTTTTCTGATTCCCGTCTGTCACTTGCCTCCTTTTCTATCACTTTTATTTTCTTTAAGTCTCTAACCCCTTTGTTTTATTTAGCTCCTTTTTGCTCTCTGCCTCTCCCCAGTTTTACAGTGTGCTTTGCTCCATCCCCACAGGATGTAATAATAATCCTTGCATTTGATATAGCACTTTATCACATTGTTGAGCTGTCTCAAAGTGCTTCACTGAATATATTACAAAGTGAATTGAATGTATATTTTGTGGGCAAAACATAATGTGATACCTTCTCCCCCACCCATCTATTTTTAGAATGGGGTTTCTCTGCAGTGACTCCCTTTGAGAAACTCGATCTTGAAACTAGGTCAACATAATACTATTAAGCAGGAGAATAGTATTATGTTGACCTAGTCTGCAGCTAGGAAGGTAAGTGGCTAACTTCAGAGTTTGAACCTTTCTTGTTGTCGTGCCCATTCCCAACACCTCTGCATTTTCTTAGGAGAGAAAAATAATTGAATTGTTTTGTCACATTGCACATATATTGAGAACAATCCCCAGATAGATCATAGTTCCTCTGCATGTTTTCACCTGCCTGGCTGAGTGACTTCCACTTTATCTGGGGTGGAACTGAGTGTTGGGCACTGCTTGATTTTAGCTGAATTGCTATGGTGATAGTGACCCCATTGTCAAACAGTCTTTAACAGCTAGTTGGAAAACACATGACCTAACCTCAGGGGATGGGAGGATCAGCGATTGAAACAAATGGAGAAATATTCACTGAGATGTGAGGTCTGCATGGCACATTTTTATTTCATGGCTGTTTTGGGACATTGCTGTGTGCAAATTGGTTGTTGCATTTGCCTACAAAATACACAGCTCATACACACCTTATAGTAAATCCTGTGAAGCTCTTTGAGATGTTTCCAGGAAGATGAGGCTCAAAATAGAGTGCAAGGATTATTATATAATAAATTTGTTAACTAATTACTCAAGGGAAAAGGGCTCAGCAACAAATTATCCAGAGCAACATAAGTATAAATACATAAATAAATGCAGCCAGGATATTAATAGCACAATGGTTTTGAGTGATGGTGACAAGTTAAGCCAGGGTTGAGTTATCAGGAGTTTACTGTACTTATTTATGCATGCCCAGCTGTACTGAAATATGCAAATTGGCCACCATGTTTGCCTACAAACCTTCGATCCTCAGTTAACCATTAAGCCCATGTTCAGGTTCTCACTCACTTGGCTTTCCCACACCTCTGTACCATCACTCGCTCCCACCACTACCTCTTCCCTCTCACCCAGGAGGGATACATCCTGCTTACTAAATTCTGGAATTAGGCACAGGTTGGTGACCCTAGAGTGTGCATTGGGGTCCTGCTGGACTAACCAGCTAATACCACATGGCTTGTCATTGATAGCATTGTGCGTTATTCAACCCTAATCCACACACCAAGGTCTGCTGCAACACAGCCTCTAGTTGGTCAGAGCACCAACCCCCCCCCTACCTCCAAGGCCAGTGACCACCCACATCTCTGATTAGTCCATCTCCCATCCACACTCCCATTCTAAAACATTCAATTATTGACCTACTCTATTGTATTTGTCTTCCTGTATTTGTTTTAGAATGATTGCAAGGGAGAGACCTGGGTTCGATTCCTGGCAGGGCAAAACCTTGGGCAAGTTTCCTTCCTCCACATGTCTGATAATAATCCCTCAAGAAAAACAAAAAAAATAAATTGGTCACTTCAATCCATGACTTTGTGGGACACTGCTGTGCACAATTGGCTGCTGTGTTTTGCCCACACATATACAGTCAATACACTTTACAGTATATTCTGTGAAGCACTTTGAGACATCTAGAAGACATGAAAAGCACTATATCAAATGCAAGGATTATTATTATTGGGGGGCTTGGGGTCAGACCATAGATTATCACCATAGTCATAATATCAACCACATCCTCACTTAGTTTACAGATTGTAATTGATGGTGCTTCTGTACTATCATTCTATTATAATAACAATCCTTGCATTTGATATAGTGCCTTATCTCATCAATGAGGCATCTTAAAGAATATACTAAAGTGTAGTGACTGTATATTTTGGGTGTGAAACACAGCAGCTAACTGCACAGCAGTTTTGTTCAGATTTGAAAAAAATAAAATGAATTTAAAAAACAGAAGTGGTTAGATTTTCAAGTTTTAAAATGTATTCAGCTAGAGTAGGCAGTGTATGATTTTGGATTGTGGCAAGGTGCCAGGAAAATTATATAATTAAGGAAATTAGCAGACAATCAGTAGCTCCTTAAATGGGAGTAGTATCCAGAGTCAAATCTTGTATCAAATCTGTGGCTTTAAAAAAAAAGTAAAAATATGCACAAATACAATTTGCAGCATTTTTATTTCAGATGTGAAAAGTTTACAACATTAAATCTTTCCCAAGATACAATTTCTGTAAGTTACAAGAAGCATAAAGTTGTCTTTTGGCACATATAAAATTCTTATAAATCCTTGGCAGTTTCATACCCCATTCCTGTCTCAACCATTGCAAAAAGTTACTGTCCTATGTATATTAACAATTATTTACACAGTAAGTAAAGTACTCAATGTATTTACAGAAATTTGTACAGGTTCATAGTTTTAGTACAGATTATATGGAAAATGCATGCTTTAATGTCTTCATGTGAAAGTGCTTGCAGATCACTCAATGCTGAAGATTGAGGAATACTAGTTGGATTTACAAAATATTTACATACTCAGAATCTCATTTGCATCAATAGATTACAAGAACATCCACATAAACTACATATGCATGTCACTGCATCTGAGGCTTTTTGCATTATTTTATTGAAACCATTAATCTTACCAAAAACTGTTGTGTGGGCTGAAGACATTGAAATAATCAAGCCATGTCATCTTCTGTCTTGACAATGGAGATCTAATAAACAAGATGCAAAAGCATTACATTTTGAAAGCAAGCCAGTATATTATTCCATTGCTGCAATAGCCAAGGCATGGACTGAATGACACACCCGTGCAGAGACAGCTATACATTAAGTAGGCAGGCCGGAAGTTAACATTGTTGAGAAGTTTCCCCATAAGAAGTGTTCTCAGGACCAAAGCAGAAGTCTGAATACCATTAGAACCGGCTTTGGGTGGGGGGGGCGAAGAGAGACACGAGAGGAAATGGTCTTACCAACAGAATAAGTGTTCACGCAGGGGTAGAAATTCCACTTGAAGACAAATGTCTACTTACTGCAGGGTAGGTATGACCGACTGATTGCCCTTGTCTATTGAGATCAATGTTCAAGTCATCTTCAGTTGTTTTCAGGTAGACTGGATTGTCAAAATTCATGCTCTTCAGGTTCTTGCTCTGCCAGTTGCGCCATGATAGGTAGCCGGCTACACCAGCTATTGCCAAAAGCACTAAACAGAGACAAGTTAGAATTAATACAAGCTTTACATTTGATGTTGCATCTTTTGAGAAACATCTCAAGTACTTCACAGGAGGATTTATTGTAGATGCAGTGACTTTTGATGAAAGCAGCAGCAAAATAGCCCACAAAGTAAATGTTTAAACCATTTTTAAAAATTAGAGGCGAATTGTTGGATAGGACACTTTTTGAAGGCCATGGGATCTTTAACATCCACCTGAACAGGCAGATAGGACCTTGGTTCTCATGTTTTGTCTGCATGCAAAAAAATAAGCTTAATTCTGAAAGATACATTAACTGCTTGAAGAATATGCCTGGAGTTAAATTGCCTATGTGCTGACACAACGAAAAAAAGTTTCACTCGTTGTACTCACAGATAGGAAGGATTATCCATGCTGCTGTTGGTGCTTTTCCAGACTGGTTTACAGGACTGACCTTAGCGCTCGAATTTGAATCTGTAATAGAATAAACAACATTACATTTGTAAAGCGCCTTTCATGTTGGAAGAACGTCCCAAGGTACTGAACAGTCAGGGATCAGGACCTGAGCGTGGGGGGCAGGGTTGGGATGAGGGAGGGCAGTGGGGGTAGGAGGGCGGCTGAAGGCATGGTCAAAAAGGAGGGTCTTGAGTCATGGCTTGAAAGGAGGCAAGAGAGGCAGCAAGGCAAAGGGATTGTGGAATGGGGTTCCAAAGAGTGGGGGCAGAGGCTGAAAGCCCAGCCGCCGATGGTAGGGTGGGTCGGGTAGGAGACCTGGAGCAGGCTGGAACCTGCTGAGCGGAGGGAGTGGACAGGTTAATTGGGGGTCAGCAGGTCAGAGATGTAAGAGGGGCAAGGCCCTGAAGGTGAGGACGAGGATTTTGAATTCTATCCGAGCAATGAGGAGCCAGGCGAGGGTGGGGGTGATGGGGTCTCGAAGCCTGGTGTTGGAGAGGACACGAGCTGCAGAGTTCTGGATTATCTGCAGCTTGTGGAGAGAAGAGGTGGGAAGGCTGACAAGGAGGGAGTTTCTGTAGTTGTGCTTTGAGTTGATGAATGTGTGTATGAGGGTTTTGGCAGCCTGAGGGTTGAGGCAGTGGCGGAGTTAGGCAATGTTGTAGAGGTGGGGGAAGGCAGAACAGGTCATAGCATGGATGAGGGTGAAAGGACAGTTGAGGGTTGAACCAGATGCCCAGGTTCCTAACTGGCTTGGTGAGGGAGGGTGCAACAGTAGATGCTGATCCTGCCAGCGCCTGAGGTGCTGGTGCGAGCCAATCAGGAGAGCCTCAATCTTGCTATCATTCAGCAAGAGAAAGTTGGCTTTCATCCAGGACTTGATGTCAGACAGACAGTGTCAGAACGTCAGTTGTCCTGGAATCGAGGGTGGAGGCAGAGAAATAAAGTTGGGTGTCGTCCACATACGTATGGAGGTTGACCCCATGTCTGCAGATGATGTCACCAAGGGGGAACATGTAGAGGTTGAAGAGAAGGGGACCAAGGACAGAGCCCTGAGGAACAACACAGTGCAGGGCTGGAAGAGAAACCATTGGCAGAGACAAATTGGAGACTATGTGAGAGATAAGACCTGAACCATTCAAGGACAAAACTCCAAAGGTTGAGGTGAGAGGAGAGGCAGTGGAGGAGAATGGAGTCATCCAGTTTTGAAGGCAGCAGAGAGGTCAAGGAGGCAGAGGGAGCCCTAGATTCAGAGGGAGTCATAGATGGACAAAATGTCATTTGGTAAGGTAAATCAGTACAGGAGGTAGGCCAGAGAGGGAGGAGTTCAGATAACTCCAGGGCAGCAGAGAGATTATGGGGAGATAGGAGATGGAAGTGGGGAGAGGGATTGAGGAATTAAAGGAAATGAATTAAGGCAAAATTAAAGGCTAGTTTCACAATGCTAATGTTTACTGGCCAGTTAAAATATTTATTGATGAAATAGGAAGCGTTACTGTTTTGACTGACATGGATTTAAAACGGATTCTTGGCAACTTTACTGGTGCTTTAGGCTGATACCCATTTCTCACCTTGGTCTCAAAACTAAGGCAAGGGAGGCTTTTCAAACCAAGAAGCAGAACCCAATGATGACAAGCTGAATATGATAAGAACCATGATCATTACTGCCAGATTTCTAAATGCAACCCTTACTTGAATATTGAAGTGAACCACCTTGCCTACATCCTAGCTGAGCAGGTTTATTGTTGAATTAAAGCACTTTTTCACATCACAGTAAATCATCAAGACAATAAACTCAAGCAGGAGTTTGGTGCATTTCAAACCTATGCAAAGACTTACATTTTGTGTACAATGCGAAACATGCCACAATGAGCCATTAAAACTCTGCATTACCTCTAGAACCAGGCAAAACTGTGGCATAGGAACCAAAATCTTTTGAGGAACCACTGGGAACCAAGGGTTTAGTATATTCAGTAGTTCCAGTTGCTGAACAGAAAGAGGAACAAGACCATTACAGGACATACACCAAATGACAATACACTGAAATTGCCAGTTGCTATAGAAGATTATAGGTAAGTAGTTCCAAGATGGAAAAGCAAAGGTCAATGCTGGAAGAGTGAAAGCAATTTGAAATATGGAAGCACTACACATAGGATGCTCATTTCAATATTATGTATAGCTATGGATCCTTTAAATGTGTGTTTAGGCACCAAAAACAGAGGCAATGCATTTCTTTGTAGCTTTAGATAAGCCATGCACAATAGAACCAAAGCTACAGATTTTGCACAACATTTCAATCTCATCAAGAAAAGCAGCATTGCCTAATTTGTGCAACTGGCTACAAAGAGTGGAGCATAGTGCACTTCACAAGCCTTTAAAGTACCCTTTTACAATAACTGAGGCAGACTGCCACTGAGGCAGTTCACATACATCTTCATAAGCTTACTGGAATGAAGCTTTGAGGGGAAGTCAATAGATTTTCTTGTGTTCTACCCTGCTTTTATTCCCCTTGCCCCCAAACACTAAATTTAAGTTGTGTTATGTATTGTAACAAGTCTCATTTGACAAAAGGGTACTCTAGTTAAAGTAGAATTTCAATGGCTTGTTAGAACATTAGCTATGCCCAGATCTTTGTCCTGGAGAAAGAGCTTCATACATACCCATTCTACAGTGCTGGCCATCCTCCTGCAGCTCATCTCCTGATGGACACACACAAGTGTATTTTGGAGAAAGGCTACTTATTTGAGGGGCAGGGAGACATAGGTAGTCACAACCACCATCTGGCAAGCTGCCATTGCACCAGTTTTTGCCTGCAAAAGGAATAAAACTGCACTCAGAATCATAGAATCCTACTGCACAGGAGGCCATTCAGCCCATTGTGCCTGTGCTGACTCTTTGAAAGAGCTAACCAACTAGTCCCACTCTCCTGCTCTTTCCCCAAAGCCTTGCAATTTTTCTATGTTCAAGTATACACCCAATTCATTTGAAAGTTATTGAATCTGCTTCCACCACCTTTTCAGGCACTGCATTCCAGATCATAATTCACTGTTTTTTTTTAAAAAAAAGTTCTCCTCATCTCCTCTCTAGTTCTTTTGCCAATTATTTTTAAATCGGTATTCTCTGGTTACCTAACCCACCTGACAGTGGAAACAATTTCTCCTTATGGATTCTGCCAAAACCATCATAATTTTTAACAACTCTATTAAATCTCCCTTTAACCTTCTCTGCTCTAAGGTGAACAATCCCAGCCTCTAATCTCCACATAACTGAAGACTACGATAGACTATTTTAAGTGGATATAGTCCTGCTGCTTTATGTAGTACAGTACTCAGAACCAGCTGATCCTGAATGCCTAACATCACAGAAGAAGCTGATAGTTGATGCCCTTGAGCTAACTTTGAAGTAGTCTACTGCCCAATAGTGAACTATAAGAACCCTCTAGCAGGTGCAGTTTGCTTACCAGGTGCCTGAACTAGTTGATGATAAATTATGATGTCTTGAGGTTCGTTTAAATTGGAGGCCAATATTGTCACGTCCTCGCCTGTGAACTTGTTGGCTCCATAGATGGCTTCATTTTCTCCATCAGTCCAGAAGGCCTGATCCTGGAAGGACCATTGTGTTAAAGTAATCCAACTACTAAGAAATACATAAGACCCACATATGCTCATGGAAATAAAAGATCTCACATCCCTTCCTTAGATTGGTTAAGCAAGTCTACAAGTAGCAGTAGCCTTTCATTATTTTACTCAAGTTCAGCCATTACACAATTTAAGAAAGGCAACAGGGGGGAGAAATAAAAAAAGCAGTAACAGGCTGGAGTCTAAGCTGCCCTGTGATGACAAGGTGGTTTAGCAGTGTACAAGGGGATGTGGAGTAATGCTCATGTTGGTTTGCTAACTGCATTTTTGTGAGCTGGAGAGGAATTATTTTCCCCCCTGTCACTGGTCTTTTGACTCTGTGCTCTGAGACACTACCCTGCGTGGAGGGTGCTACATAAGTGTAAATCACTAGAGATATGGTGTTATGGAAGACAAAAAAGCTTTGAGGTGCAATTCTGATGGGAGACATTTCCTGTCTAAATCTAGCTGCCCCTCCCTTGGATATTATAATTTAAAAAAACACTTGTTTTGGGAATGTAATAATACTGAAAGCAGTCATGTATATACCCACAAGGTTAGATTATTTTAAGTAGAAAGTTGCTAAATTGCAATGTGCATTAATAACTAACAGCGAAGCAGCAATTCATGCCCCAGATAGAAATGTCAAAACCAGGTAATGTACAGTAAACTGCTGATAACTCAACATACCAAGTGATGAGTTAAAGAGCAAGTTAAGCACATGTATAAATACAAAATGCAGTTGATAGACAGCATTCAATACTTAAGTAGTGGTGACAAGTTAAGATAGGATCAAGTTATCAGGAATTTACTGCAATAGAAGGGCCATTTAGCCCACCATACACAACTGCTAATCAACTTTCTCCCCCCCATATTCCTCAATTTAACTTCAGATTCCTTTTGCTCAAATTGACATCCAATTTGTTGATGTACTTCAGTCTCACTCAAACTTTAATACAGAAAATTGAATACTTAATTGAAGGCTGCTGCCTCTAATAAAATGATTTAAACATTTAATGCCTTACCTCAAACACAGCAACAGCAAAAGGATGAGCAAGGAATCTCTGTGACAGGAGCACTCTCCTTCTGTCCCCACCATTGAGGTCCACACTTGACAAGGTGTGCAACTTTGAATCAACCCAATAAAGTCGGCTTTTCACAAGATCTGTCAAAAATGTTGGAACATTGTAAATTTGATCTATTTATTGGAAGCATAAACTTAAATAAAAGTACTTTCATTCAATACACTTACCAAGTGCAATGCCATTTGGCCACTGAATATTTGTGGAAACCAGAAGTTGACGATCAACACCATTCATTCCAGCTTTCTCAATTTTTGCTGGTTCACCCCAATCTGACCAGTAAATAAACCTTTTTAAAAAAAGTAAAACAAGTAAATGTGATTATCTTTAGCTATCAAGGGGATGCAATTTAAAAAAAAGACTTTGTACTAAATAAGCCAATGGTGTAAATACAGCTTTAAAATGGAGTCAGCTGCACATCAGACAGGTCTCATGTGCAGGACCCTGTATACAGACCGGTAATAATAATCCTTCTATTTGATATAGCATCTAGCTTCTAGACCTCTCAAAGTGATTCACAGAATATACTGTAAAGTGAATGGACCATTTTGCAGGCAAAACTGTATGTAAACCACATCAGGTCAAGATCAGCTACAATTTGTAGGATGTATGCAGTTTTGTGAAAAGCAGAATGCATCACATGCATATACATCTTAGAAGGTGCAAGCAGAACTTGCTTAAGATTTTGATGGGGTGTCAAAAGCTGAAAAGAATCTCATTTTGACATTTCCAGCATTTGCAGGATATTTTCAGTGTAATTTGAGCAACCTACATCATCTAAATCAGTGCTTCACTCATTGAAAATGAGGTGAATTGTTAACAGCAGCTAAATCTGTTCCAGCTGTGTTCTATAATGAGAACAGCCAGTTAGGAGGGGAATGCAAGCTAGTTGACAGGGAGAAAGTCTTCATGCATCGTTGAAGTATCGATGTAGGGTGATGATAATCATCCTTGCATTTGAAATAGTGCTTCATCATGTTGTGATCCATCAACTTGAAATTCAAAATCAACAGAATTCAAGACTTGTGTACAGTGTAACATGTTAAAAGCATCCAATTTGCAATGTCTCATCACAAATGAAAGACAAAGTGTAACAACAGACAAGAGGGGGTGCTGGGTCTGGAGTTGCATCCAGGCAAGATTAGTGCCATTTTAACTGTTCACCCAAAGAACATTCCTTAACAGAAACTAGATGACATACAACAAAATTTGCAGTACCCTGATAGTGGATCAAGTGCTACAGAAGCTGGTTCCCTTAGGTCAGAGTCAAAAAGAATCTTCATCTTAGTTCCATCGAAGGTAGCCACAGATATCGTTTTAGTTTCCACATCAGTCCAGTAAATGTGCTTGTAGATCCAATCCACAGCAATTCCCACCGGCATTTGGACCTCAGCTATTCTAGATTTTCCAATAGCAGCTCCATTTTGGTCCATGGATATACTGCAAGATTAATGACTGTTAATTCCTACAAATTAATCTAGCAGGTTTCAGACTCCTAGGCCAGTCTAGCCATATTAACACAACTATAAATTGCATCTAAAAATCAATTTGAATACAATCAGATGGGGCCATGTGATGTGCAAATAAAGCCATTATTTTGTAGAGGAAAAAATATGAATCTGAACATATATAAAAAGGTGATTGGGCAAACAATTCATGGTTTTAGATTTGAGTGATTATTTACAGGTGGTGTGTAGCTCAAATTGAATAGTTTGGTTTAAAGGTTCCTGCTCACTACTTGTATTTACCTGAAGATTGCCCGCTGTCCCATGTCAGCCCAAAAGATCCTCTGTGCTACAATGTCAGCATCAAGTGCGACAACATTTCGCAACTGCTCAACTACCTGGGTGTACTCCTTGTGCTCCAGACCTAGTTTCCGTATATCACGGCGGTTAGTGAAGATCAGGTAGGGCTCTTTTCCTGTGCAAGAAACAGAAGGCAGCAAACTGATACTCAGCTTATCAACTGATACGTGGACTCTCAGCAGGTCAATGGTGTTTCATATCTTGTCAAAATCTAGTCTAATATTATGCAGTAACTGAAGGTGGTTCTTATCCACAAGAGCAATAATGTGGGCAATACTCCTCCCACATCCAAGTGGAGCATTTGACCACCTGAGCCAGATGCGAGACTTTGAATTCGAACAGAATCTACAACTAACCAATGCTGACAAGTCACTAATACGAAGAATTAAGAACACTACATTTAAACTGGCAAAGAATTTATTTGAAAGTTTAAGAATAAACATTAGAATTAAGGAATTAACTAAAGTGGCTTCAGCCTCTTGATTGTCCCTCATACGCGCCCCTCTGTTGCACCATCAGTGGCCATGCTTTCAGGCACTATGCTTCCAAACTCTGGAACACTCCCTCCACCTTGCCCATCTTCAGGTTGTTCCTTAAGACCTTCCTCTTCAACTGTACTTAGTCACCTCCCCAGGTGCTGTGTCGTGCTCAGTCACTGTCAAGCATTCTGGGACACAATCCTGCTTAAGGGTGCTATGTAAATTGTTAAACTAGATTAATTACTTTCATTTTTAGTGTTCAGGATAGGTTTACTAGTCCATGTCAAGTACAAGATTGACATCTGCATAGAAGTCTATTTCCTTTCTAGTCTTCATTTAGATTTGCAAACATTTGGAAAGATACAAATCGAGGGATTAAGGGATATGGGGATAAGGCGGGCAGATGTAGTTAGATTAGAAGATCAGCCATGATTTTATTGAATTGCGGGGTAGGCTCAAGGGGCTGAATGGCCTACTCCTAATACCTATGTTCCTAAACGACAATGTAACCAGTCTTGTATTTGTAAACAGAATTTAAGACTAATTAATTGATCAGGTTAGTAAGATTTCCTACAGCTTTACTGGATACTTGAGAATAATGGTAAAGGAAAGTTTGACATAATCCAGTATCAAAGTTAAATGGGCTAAAGGCTACTTGGTCTCACTTTGGTTAATTTTGATTGTACCTACCTATTGCCTTGCAAACCCCATTAGCTGGATCCATTTGATATCCTGCACGACATTCACATTTATAGCCTCCTTTCAGATTAAGGCAAATTTGACTGCATATTCCAGGGTTCTGACACTCATCAATATCTGTAAAGAAAACAAACTTTGAGATTCACAGATTAAAAAGTAGACTATTTCTTACAGCAATTAAACCCTCAACTTACCCCCACATGTTTTTCTGTCAACCAACTTAAAGCCAGGAGGACAGTAGCACTCGTAACCAATCACCAGATCCCTGCAGACGTGGGAACAACCACCGTTATTCTCCAAGCACTCGTTTAAACCTGCAGAAGAGAAGTCATGGACCATTACTTTAGTCCTTTCACACTAAGCAGTAGCCCCTTAACACCAAGCAAACTGAACTCCCAATCGATGCTCAACAGGGCTTAGATGCCAAAGACAGCCGTAGAACTTGACATGATATTTGGCTTAAACCAGTATTAGAGTGAAGACTGCTTACACAGGCAATAGTTTAACATACAGTATGCAGTTTATTTAAAAATGTACCCCATCTTTGAAGTTAACCATTTAAAATGGTAGCACAGTTGAAGGCTCTAAAGCAATGAGTCAATGCTCTAACAATACTGAAAATGCTTGCTTACTTGCCAGGTAGATTGCTTTCTTCAGGATTAGTAGCATAATCTGCTTAAGCAATATTACTAGCATAACCTCATCCAGAACTTCTGAGGCCTGCATTCTTTCCCACACCAGGCTTCATATGCCATCTCACCCAATCCTTGTCAGGCTCCATCAGCCTCCCCATTTTCTAACATTTCCAAAACCTTTGAATTTTAAAATAACTCCCATCTACATCTGCAGGTTTGTTGCACAATTTCCACCCTACTAAGGGCAGTGTGTGCTCATGCACATGTGGTGGGGGGTGGTGGTGATGTCTTAAAGTATCATCAATAGGCCAATATACAGCTTCCTCAATGCCAAGACTTGTACAAGATCTACCATTTGAGTTTGTTTGAAATCAAATGAAATATTCGCAAACTAGTTAACTAAGATGCGATTTCAAAGATGTGGTACAAGTTTTAGAAAGCAGATGCATAAATTCATTGTGAAAGTGGTTTCCTGATGTTTAAAGCTAGACAGACATTTTCAAGGTGCTGAGTAAAAGCCATTTTAAAGTCATCTGTTCAAATCATGGAGTGGAATTAAATACAACACAGGCTATTGAGGGAATTGCCATATTAAAGAAACCACTGCAGACTGCCACACTAAGACTTTAACTAGCTCTTTAACCCACAATTTAAAGTAGTTTCTAAGAATTAGATCAGTGGACTTTCATTTTCTACATATCAGAATTTGCATCTTGGATCTCACTACAGGGTCAGATTTACCCAGTGTGAAATTCTCCATTTCATTAAATAGGTCATAATCCACATTTCAAGGATGAGCATCACAATTTGAGTTGGAACATTGTTTTTCATTATATCTAAGGGCACTGAGTGACTAGCTCATCAATAAGGCAAGTTTAAAAAAAACATTCAGCATCATGAGCAGCCATGCAAAAAATTGAAATCAAAAGGGCCAGCCACTTACCACATTCTTTGAGAGGCTCATCGCTCCAGTCCCTGCAATCCCGCTGTTTGTTGCATACCAGGGTCATGTCTACGCATTCTCCAGTTTGGCATTTGAAGTTAGTTGGCCCTGTACATTCTGTAACTGTAAAATACAGACCCATCAGAAAGCTGCTGTATTACTTGTAGTTGTGACCTTATTATTCTAAAATAATCTGCTTTTGATATAGCACCTTATCACATCTTCAAGACATCTCAAAGCACGTCACAGAATATACTGTCAAGTAAATTGATTGTGGGAAAATGTGGCTGCCAACTGTGCATAGCAGTATCCAACAAACCATCGTGGATTGAGTAACCAAATTATTATTATTATTTAAAAAAGGAATTATTACACCTGGAAAGCGATCTGCCAATCGACTAACAACCAGGTTCCTATTTACTGCTAGGTAAACAGAGGCATGTGGAGGAAGGAAAATTGTCTAAGGTTTCACCCTGCCTGGGAATCGAACCCAGGTCCTCACTTGAGAGGAGTGCTCTAACCAATACACTACAGGACTTTACATTCTCAAGGTGCATGATATAGCACCTTGAGAACATCTCAAAGCACACACTTTCTATAAAATGTTGGCAAACGCTGCAACTAATTTGTGCACAGCAAAGGATTTATTAAAACAAAAAAAACTAGAGAATACTTTGAATAGTGAGTGTCACAGGATTTTTAATATACGTCGAATCAGGTAGATGGGGGGCCCTTGGTTGAGCATCTCATCTGAAGGTCAGTACCTCTGACAAAGCAGTGCTCTAAGCTCCACATTGGGAGTGTTAGCCAGGGCTATGAGCTCAAAGTCTCATGCAAAGTTTGAAACCTACAACCTTTCGATTCACAGGCAAGCGCTACCAACTGAGCCAGACCGACACCTAAACATGCACTTACCATTTGACAGCTGACTTCATCACTACCGTCAATACAGTCCCTAAAATGATTACATTGCCTGCTTCCATGAATGCAGCTACCATCACCACATCTAAAGTAGTCAGGTCGACAAGTCCGAGGAGCTGAGGAGAAATAAAATACATTTCATAAAAAAGTTGTTACTAGCTGAACAGTAGCTTTACCTTGGATTACGTTGGTCATAGGTATTAGATGAAGCCATTGCTGGTCTTCTACAAAAGCTCTCATTACTTGTACAAGCAGCAAATATGAAACAAATCAAGGCTTTATTCCTATGACATGTAACCTGACCCATTCAAACATTAAGATGTAAAGTGAAGTTTGAAGCAGGCAGCACTGGTTAGGATATGAGTAAATCATCCTTGCATAGGATATCGCTGCAAAGCATAGTGACCATTTTGTAGGTGAGGAAAATTTCTAGCAATAAAATAAATTATATTCTATGGGACTAAGTTCTATGAAACTGCAGAGGCAATTTGGTTATATATCATTTCTTCCAAAGGTCTTTACTAAACGTTTGAAATCCCAGCAATTTACATTCATTGTATTGGAATAAATACCAGTATCTGGTTGGCACATTTTGCAGCCATGCTTCACTTAATCCTTGCATTTGATATAGTGCCGTGTGTTGTCAAGACATCTCAAAGCACTTCACAAGATATATTGTGAAATGAATTGACTATTTTGTGGGCAAAACACAGTAGCTAGTTTTCACACAGCAATGTGTCACAAATAGCCAGAGTGATTGACCAAATTTATTTGGGGGATTGCTGGCCAGGACTCCCTTCTCTTTCTGAAGAATGCCATGGGATCTTTAACATCTATCTGAACAAGCAGATGGGACCTCAGTTAACATTTTATTCAAAAGATGGATAAAAGGACCTGAAAACTGTCAAGACTCAAGGTTACTTTAGAAAAATGAAAGTTGTTTCAGTTAAACTAAAACGGCCAAGTCCCTCGGTGAGGTAAAGCAACCATTGGCAAATATGCTATTAAAGATTTGACAGTCCACTTACGGCAGTTAATTTCATCACTTCCATCTTTGCAGTCAGCATCTCCATCACAGTACCATCGGCGGTGGATGCATTCCCCTGAGCCACACTGAACCTCACTGGTGGAGCATTTCACTAGAGGAGGAATTGTGTGTCCACAGTGATCTGCTGACTCATCAGATTGGTCCATGCAGTCAATGTCACTGTCACACACCCAACGGAAGGGGATACACTCTGAGCTATTGCAATGAAACTCATGTGGACCACAGGTAGGTGGAGCACACTCTTGCTCATCGCTTCCATCACCACAGTCATCCTCCCCATTGCACACAAAGGTCTTAGAAATGCACCGGCCACTGGAGCAAGTAAACTCTAGTATACTGCAAGTAAGCTGTCCTGAAAGATAAAACATTTGAAAGTTAGGTTTATACCACCTGAGACCATAAAGTAGTCTGCTCCTTCCACTATCCATAAACTTCTATTATTGTGAGCAACCGTTTATTTCCACAATGGCTTTGATTTGAAATATGGCACACACAAGGCAAATTCAATTGCATTGAAAGTGACATTGGCCTTGAAAGATTCACTCTTGGGAGTCAGATGTAGACTGCAGCAGATTTAGAAATCTAGAAAACAGGAGGCCATTCGACCGATTGAGTCTGCACTGACTCAGAGCAAGGAGATCAATTCAATCCCACTACCCCACCTCATTACCATATCCCTTCAAGCCCTATTTCATATGCTTATCTCAGTAGGGCATTCCACATCCCAACTCTCTGGTTGAAAAATTTGTCTCAAGTTCTCCTTTCACTGTTCTTGTGGCTCATAACCATGCTCCCTAGATTTATTGACAAATAGGACCTTATAGTAAGAACTAATGCAGCTGGTTACTGTAATATGCTTTGAAGCCCTGCGCTTCAGTTTTGAACTCTGTACACTAAAGAAAAACAAGTCAAAATAAAGCAGAGCAAAAGAAATGTGTATTAAATGTAATGGTCTGCAAGTATGCTCCTGCTTAAATATTACAACATGTGCTTTTAACAACAAGATTATTTATATAGCACCTTTCACGTCAGGAGGACATCCCAAGGTACTGGACAGAGTACAGCATTTTAGGCCTGAGCCTGGGTCGGGGGAGAAGCGAGGGGAAGGGGGGTGGCTGATGGCATAATAATAATAATAATAATCCTTGCATTTGATATAGCGCTTTTCACGTCGGGAGGACGTCCCAAAGCGCTTCACAGAACACACTGTAAAGTGAATTGACTGTATATTTGTGGGCGAACGCGGCAGCCAATTGCGCACAGCAATGTCCCACAAACAGTCGTAGATTGAAAATGACCAATTTTATTATTGTTTTTGGTTTTGGAGGGATTATTATTAGGCGTGTGGAGTAAGGAAACTTGCCCAAGGTTTCGCCCTGCCTGGAATTGAACTCAGGTCTCTCGCTTGCAAAGCGAGTGCTCAACCACTGAGCTACAGGACTCCACAATCCCAGGCATGGTCGAAGAAGAGGGTTTTGAGGCGGGATTTGGAGGATAAGGAGGGGTGACCCTCCGTGAGGGGATGCATCTATAAATGCAATCTTGTTGTTGTGGATGAGGTGGAGTCATTGGGGGATGGAGTTCCAGATGTTGGGGGCAGAGTGGCTGAAGGCTCTCCCGCCAAGATGGGGTGGGTGGGTCAGGGCATGTGGAGCAGGCCAGAGTGGAGGGAGCAGGCGGGTTGGTAGGGGGTTAGGAGGTTGCAGAGGTAGGGTGAGGCCATGGAGGGCTTTGTAGGTGAGGATCAGTATCTTGAACTGGGGGGGTGGGGTCACAGTTTTGTGCGGGAGAGGACACGAGCTGCAGAGTTCTGGATTATCTGCAGCCTGTGGAGGGAGGAGTTGGGAAGGCCGACAAGCAGGGCATTTGCATAGTCGAGCCTGGAGTGGTGAAGGCATGAACAAGAGTTTCAGCGGCCTGAGGAGTGCAGTAGTGGCGGAGTCGGGCGATGTTACGGAGGTGAGGGAAGGCAAAGGGAGTCATAGCTTGGATGTGGGGAAGAAGACAGTGGAGGGTCGAACAAAGCACAGATTTAAAGTCAAAGTTAAAATCAAAGTTAAACCTGCTATTAACTTACCACAGTTCTGCTCATCACCACCATTATCACAGTCCATCTCTCCATCACACCTCCATGGAAAAGGGATACACTGAAGGGATGCAGAGCCACAGCTGATTTCATTCACACCACATGTCCTCAATTCTGAAAGGGAAAGGTTATGTCAGAGTTTAACTGAGCATTTTCCTGAAGAAAATCAACCAACAAATTATTCCTCTTTGCTCAGTGATCCACATACTGTAGTGCAATTTGAACTATGCCCCTTCCTAGTTTAAAATTGTATCAGCAACACACAGATCTATATAATGCAGACAGGTCACAGGCAGCCTATGAAGATGCCACTATTCGTTACAGCTGTAATTGTAGTACTGTAGCTTATTGCATATTAAATCTTACTGTAAAAGGCATTGAATGCTGAGGTGGTACATTTCATGTGTATAAGAGGGCAGCCAATCTGATTAAACAGATGGCGAGGCTACAAAATCAGTCATCCAACTTGATAAGTAAAGGCTCATCACTAGAAGGATCAGTAGCTTCAGCATGGTTGTATGAAAATGTTTTTGTATGGTCATCGCTTTACTAGGAGTGAAGAAAATCATGTACAGACTTAATCTGTTAAACCTATACAGCAGGTGAATAGTTCATTTGTATTAAACGAAAAACTTACGACAAACTTCTAGACTTTCGTCAGATCCATCTTCGCAATCTGTATCACCATCACACTGCCATCTATCAGGTATGCATTGCCCATTGTGGCACACAAAGTCAGATGGGCCACAGGTCTTTTTTGCTAAATAAAAGAAAACCATTTAGAGTGAAATAGAACTGCACAACAACCTTGTCCAACACTGATGCCTTTACAAATTAAAGCTATCAAAAGCTTTGTGATTTCCTTCTCAGTGGGAAAGCTTTAAAATTCTAAACTAGTAAAACACAAACCAAAGTTAAAAACATGTAGGGCAAGGTCACCTGGCACCCAAGCCTCCTTCAGCTGGTCTTATTCACTCCCATAGTCTTGCAAGGAGAAAGATCCCTTTGCCACTTCTGAAAAGACTGGAATTCACTTGATTTAAAACTATATGAACAAGGAATAAGCCTTAAAATTAAGTCAGCATTTTGACGGTTCAATACAGGTTAGTAGTTCCAATACCGAGTTTATTGTAGCCTCATCACAGTACAGAGAATTTATACTGTACATCATCATGTCTAGGTTTATTGCTTCAAATAACCTGACTGCCACATTTATGGGCTCATTAATTACTGCTAGAATAAGTTTACACGAGGGATACATTTTTTGCTCAGACCCAGGTGTGAATAGCCTAGCTCTATTGAAGTTGGAGTATATAGGTGGTTGCCATTGGTGTGTTCTAACAGGCCATGCACTTTAACAATGATACAGTACTTGCATTTGATATAGCTTATGTTAATATCTTCAATTACATGCATTGTAATTTTATAGTTTACAGTCTGGCCTACAAATAGTTACATTGAAATATCGCTGCTAGAAGAAGATACAAATCTATAATGCAATGGATTAGAACTCACAAATCAATAGTTCATATTGGGATTGAGAGTAGTTATTGTAAAATTCATTAAATGCTATAACAGTAAATACATTGAGATTAGCAAGAGTCCATTGAGCAGTGCTCAATGCTAAGATGTGTTCAAAATGCTTTTACGATCTTATACTGCAGTCTAGCTTTGTCCTGAAGACTGCCTTCATAGGCAGAGGCTTCAGGTCAAAGATGCTCTGAGCTTGGCAATGACTTTCAGCTTCCTTAAGTTGTGGAAAGAGGACCCCCAGTAACCAATGCAACAAGCCAGTAGGACTGCAACTTGATGTCATTTTTCAATACCCCAGTCAATGGTTCAATCAGTCGACCCCATGTCAACACCTGACATGCAAGGAAGATTCCCTTTAGAGGTAGGGGGAGTCAATGAAGCTCTGAACTAGATTTTAGTCAATGCTATTTCATTTTGGCAAACATTGTATACAACTACTTCTAAATTAAATGCTACAGGTGCAGTAACATTCATTCAATATTTCTATACATCACCTTTCATCATATGCTTACAAGTTCAAAGCTCTAATTTCAAAAAATTTAGTTAGTCCAAAATTGAAGCAGTTTTGCTATCATAAAACCTCCAAACTGCATTCATACAAGATCAATTTATTAACAGCAGTCATTATAATACCTTTCATGTCAAGACGTCAAAGCACTTCAGAGGATATATTTGTGGAGTGCCTGTTTTGTGAGCAAGTGTGCCACTAAGCCTGAATACAGAGTACCATTAAGTACAGTAGATGCCATCTCTAATAGTACTTGCTGATGTTGAACTCTGCTGAAAAAGGTTGAAGCGCACCAAGTGTTTTGGGCACAGGTCAGCCAGCTACAATTATAAAACATGAACTAAAAAGGTTGAAGTTAATCTTCAGTAATAAAACATCACTTGTTAACACAAGTACTGATCTTATTGGTTTGTGGACAGATTCTAAAGCTTGTTCAATACTTTACCAATAGCTGTCAGAGTGACCAGTGAATTTCATTCTGATTGACAGACACCTTTACAGGTGGAAATGTTTTTTTTTTGAAAAAAAGCATCTTATGGTCACCTGTGCTTTGTCAGAAATAAACAGATCTTGGAAAAGTGTTATTCCCATATGTTGGAAGAGATTTACAGTTGATCAAGGGCAAACATGGATATTCTTAGACTTCATATTCATTATACTAATTGGATTTTAATAGTACACTGGTTCAAAGCTTTTGGGCTCATGGTTACTTAAACTACATTTTAGTACCATTTGACAAGATCTTGGCAGCTATTCTGTATCAGAAGAAGAATACCGCCACTTGAGCTAGCATTAGAAGAGCAAAGCAGAATACTTTCCAACATGCAATTTACAACCGTGAAAGCTAACCATCATTCTAGAAAGGACCAAGAATTCAGTAAAATACATACAGTAAACACTTATGTTTGATACTGCATGTCATGAGGACATCTCAATGCACATTATAGAATGTACAGTGGAGTGACTGTTTTGTGGGAGAAGAGTGGTGGTACAGAACTAACTAAATTAGTCTGTTTAGAATCCACACAAGATCCCACCCCTCCTATTCCCCTCAACTAGACCCTTCTCCCTTATGTATGCATCAGGTTCATTTAAAAATACATGGTTCTTTGCTTCAAAGTTAGATCATTATGTAAAAAAAAACTTTGAAAGTTCAAGACTCACCACAGGAGCTTTCATCACTGCCATCAACACAGTCGTCATCACCATCACATTTCCATATTGAAGGGATGCAACGTCCATTTCTGCACTGAAACTGCGTTTCCTCACAAGACACTCTTGAGCCTTCAGGAGTTTTTAAAAAATGTAATTTTAATGCTTCAATTACAGCCCAAAAGGAATTTAACAAGCATTCACCAGCTTTAATATGTTTAATAAACAATCTTGATATAGTACCTTATCACATCTTCAAGTCATATCAAAGCACTTCACAGAATATACTGTATAGCGAATTGATTTCATGTTTTGTGAATGAAAACTTGGCAGCCAATCGCACACAGCAGTGTTCCACAAACAGTCATGGATTGAGTGACCAATTTATTTTTTTTGAAGGGATTATTATTCTGGATAAGCAATTCACCAATCAACTAACAAGGCATACGGAGTAAGGAAATCTGCCTAACGTGTCCCTTGTGAGGTGAGTTATTTTAACAAAAAGCATTAGTTTTTAAAAATCACATCTTGTTTAAAAGACGGTCAAATTAACACAAACATTTGGGAACACTTCATTTTGAACAATATTTCATTTAGCTGATCAACTCTTCCACAAGAATGTGAAGCAGCAGATTACACAGCATTTGAAAACTTGGCTGCTTGCTCAAGAGATCAAACATAGGCTTTTGTAGTGAGCTATTGTCAGATTGGGGCTGGTTTAAAAAAATATTATGTTAATCCATACTTTAATGAGTAGTTTAATTAAAGCAGGATTAATGTGTACTTAAGACACAATACATTAAAACATAATGTTCACCACATTGAGTTGCCAGTTTAACACTACTTTGTTTTACTTTGATAGCAATTGTTCAAGCTTTATGATGTCCCAGTAAAGCTGTGGCAAGAGGAAACAGATTGATAAGGACATGTGCAATCTTTATTTATATTCTAGATACAAGATCAGCACCTCAAAGTGAGTTTGTCTGCATAGCAGCACAATTCTAGTTTATTTGGTTCTTAAATAGCTATCTGACAGTCTACAGGGACAGTGAAATTACAGCCTCACAGAAATCAGTGACACTGAAGCAACATATTTATGCACAATATGATTAAGTAAAGAGGTTGCTCAACTTTGGAATTAGCCTCCAGCAATTCAAACAAATTTGTTTTGCTGTTCTTTATAATAATCCTAAAATGTAATACGTCACCTATATCAGGAGCAAGTCTTAAAGCTAGTAGCTTTTGAAAGTAAACAGCAAATTTGTACATAGCATTGTTCCAGAAAAAACAGCTATGAAGCAAACCACCAATTTTATTTTGGGGGATTATTGACCAGGACACCAGAGAAACTCCCTACTAATAAGGTTGTTGAGTCTTTAACACCCACCTGAACAGGCAGCAGGAACTCAGTTTAACATCTCATCCAAAAGGATAGAACCTTCAATAAAGTGGTGCACCCCAGCACTGGACTGGAGTGTCAGCATAGACTGATGTCAGAGTCCATACATGGGCCTTGAACCCACAAACTCAAAGGCAAAAGCACTAGCAATCAAGCCAGGCTGACCCAATGACATTTATCATATACAGTAATCTTTAGTTTGAGCAAACTATAGGTGGTTTCTAGCTCACATCTCACTCAATTTCCTATTGACAAGGGTCATTAGTACAGCAGCAGAGAGAGTGCTATCTGCTGGTTATATTATTTTTCCTACTTCCTCAAAATTCAGAAATTCATGGAAGTATTTGGACTTCAAAGAGGAGACAGTCATGGGAGTCAATCAGCTTTGAAATTTCACTTGTTGGGGAACTTAGAGAATCTCCTTCCAGGAAGATGTCATCCTCACGACAAAAAAAAGTCACATCAATAGCACTGACATGTCTATGGCACACTAGGCCACTGGAGTCCTGTAGCTCAGTGGTTAGAGCACTCGCTTTGCAAGCGAGAAGACCGGAGTTCAATTCCAGGCAGAGGGCGAAACCTTGGGCAAGTTTCCTACTCCACACAGAGCCTAATAATAATAATCCCTCCAAAACCAATAATTGGCCATTTTCAATCTGCGACTGTTTGTGGGAATTTGCTGTGCGCAATTGGCTGCCGCGTTCGCCCACAAATATACAGTCAATTCACTTTACAGTATGTTCTGTGAAGCGCTTTGGGACGTCCTCTCGACGTGAAAAGCACTATATCAAATGCGAGGATTATTATTATTATTATTACTATAGAGGAAATATCAGAGACCAGCACTGCTGCGTTGAGGCATTATCCTGATCACTTTGATATGGTTCAACCAAGTGTCTTACACATGCAATAACCCATCATCATGTTAAATAGCATGTAAACTTGACAGGTAGCAATGCCACCTAGTCACAGAAATTTGCCCGCTTTTGGAATGGATTATTCACTCCCCAGGACGCGCCCCGATCATCCAATTCTTAAGGTTGGCAAGACCCATGGCCATTGTGTTGGGATAACTGATAGTTTAATCTGCTGAAACCACAACACTTGCCACCGAGAGCACCGTCTGCCTCCACAAGTTAGTCTCCTTTTTGAAGGCTCAATGTTTCAATGAGCGCCTAAATTAGGGATGCCTTATGGAGAGAAGGGAATTAAATGGTGCAGTTATAATCAAAAGGGGATTGCTTTAATAGCTGGTATGCATCAATGCTTTTGTCAGAAAGCGACTCCCTTCAAAAAAAAAAAGAGTCATGATTAGCTAGTTGATCCTGAAAATACAGGCTCAAATTAAACCTTGAAGTTTGGAGCAGACATTGACCGAGCAGCTGGTCAGGGCAGGCTGTGTGGGGGTGGTTCTGGCTGTGGATTGGATACAAAGACCCAAATCGCTACCCAATTCCTTTCAGAGGCGGGTCTTATGCTCTGAAAAAGTAGTTCAGCAACATTTCAGTAAAACGTGCAGAGGAGGCAGGAAGGTATTTTATATTGCTTATAAATCCACCACCACCAAAATGCTGCAACACTTACAGGGAGATACTGGGACATGGGAGAATTGCAGATCTAAAGTGGGGCAGTGTGATGACAGCAGTGGCGTGGTTCTGTTCCACTTACGAGCTGTGCCGAGACAACTTGCCTTTGATCCACAACTCCATTAAAAGAGAGCAACAATTAGTGTGTGTATGTGTGGGGGGGAGGTAGGGGGGTTGGAGAGAGAAAGGATCAACTACTGGACTTGAAGTTGCACTAATAATAATAATAATAATCCTTGCATTTGATATAGCGCTTTTCACGTCGGGAGGATGTCCCAAAGCGCTTCACAGAACACACTGTAAAGTGAATTGACTGTATATTTGTGGGCGAACGCGGCAGCCAATTTACTAGTCACTTTACCACAAGTAAGAGTTGGTTTGTTTATGCCAAACCCAGTTCAAGGGCAGCGGCCAGATAACAGAGAGAGAGAGACCAGGGAATTCTGCCTGTCTTGGATTCATCCAGCTTGTTCAGTCAGCTGTTTCTCAGTCATATTAATAGTGACCCTTATAGGAATAGGGAATGCTTTGAAGTAAACTCGTGGCAAATTGGAGCGGAAGGAGGGAGGGGGTGGGGAGAGAGAGAGAGAGAAAAAAAGAGGAAGGAAAGCGAAGTAGTTTAGTCGTCAAATTAATCTTTTTTTTGCTCAAGATAAACGTTAAGAGCAACTTGCACCCGCATAAGGAAGGGATCGCCAGTTTCAAAGGCTGTGATCACTTTTGGTGGCAGTTTGGAGATTTCTTAGTGCAATTCGTGCAGTTGTTTAAATGGAAAGGAGGTGGGGGGGTGGGGGGAAGAGGGTTGTTCAGCCTACTTTCCAGCACCAGGAAATACAAGGTTCCTGCAATTAAGAGGAGGAACACACCTCCACTTAGAATAAACACTCAAATCCATTCACAAATAACGCAATGATGCTCTACACTTGCATCACAATCGTGGGCTTTGGAGTTCAGGCACCTGAAGGGGTCGGTGCCAGACAGCAAACCCCATTGCACTCCATGGCATACAGGGGGGGGAAAAAAAACAATTAAAATAAAATAAACCTCTTTGTGACTCAAGCCATTCAGAGAACAAATGCAGACAGCGAGTGAGGAGGTGCAGCCCCTGAACTCAGACCAGACTCAGTCCTTTGCAAAACAAAAAGGGGGACAGTCTTTTGGTGAAAGGTGACATGACAAAGCCTTGGAATCTGTGCATTAACTTTGCATTTATATCCCCCCCCACCACCACCACCAATGCAATGGCGGCTTCCAGTGGACCCCACGAGATAAATATAGGTAGAGAATAGACAGAGAGAGAGATAGAGAGAGAGGCGGTACTACAGAGACCAGTGCTACAGATGGCATCTAATCCAGGATTCGAGGCTACAGCTATTACCCCTTTAAATCGGTGCTATTTTTAGTATTAAGTAGGACTGCATTCCCGGGAGGGGATGATGTGGGAGTGTGTGTGTGTGTGGGGGGGGGGGGGGAGGGGGGGGAGGAAGAAGAAAGACACATTCTTGATTCCCACACGAAACATTATAAAAATACAGTGCAGCTCAGCCACAGCAGAGAGAGAGGGAGAGAGAGAGAGAGGGAGAGGGAGAGGATAGCACGAACAACACGCACCGCCCGCCCGCCCAGCGCAGCCCGCAGTGAGGGCTCAGCTACAACACTGTGTGTGCGGGTGTGTGTGTGTGCGGGTGTGTGGGGGGGGGGGGGGGGGTGGGGGGGTCACACACCTCACTCACATAGTCCGGCTTCTCTCAAAGCTGAAACGGGTTACTTTATCGCGTTTGAGAGTGGGGAAGTGGCTAAAAGTCAACAGCAGAGAGAGAGAAAGAGAGGGAGAGAGGGAGAGAGAGAGAGAGAGACGCCTTGTGTGTGTGTGTGATCACCTCATCCCACATCAGCAACACCCGTCCACCCCCCCCCCCTCCCCTCCTTTTACCTCTCCCAATTAAATGCACACACACACATGCACACACACACACACTCGCATATGCACACACACACACACGCACACACACACACACAAAGCCCGACGCCAGTGCGTGTGCAAAAAAAAAAAAAGCCTTTTGCAGTCACATCTACTCACCGTCCACCCATGTGCTGTGATGCACGAGCAGCAGCAGCAGCAGCAGCGGCGGCAGTAGCGGCAGTAGCAGCGGCGGCAGCGCGAGCCCGGAGCGCCCCATGCCCCCGCCTCTCCTGCCCCCGCCTCTCCTGCCCGCCCGCCGGCTCTCCCCGGCTCGATCGCTTCTCCCTGTCACCCCCCAACACACTGAGTGGGACATGTCGACACGCCGGGAATGACGCAGGGACGTGCTCTTATATCAGTCTAAATGCATCTCTCCCTCCCTCCCTTTCCCTCTCCCTCTCCTCCCTCTCTCGCTCTCTCCCCCCCCACCCCACCTCCTCCGCTGTCTCCCAACAACTGGTTGGCCGGTGTGTCCCTCCTTAACCCAATTACCTTGTTAAATAACTGCATGGAGGGGCGAGGTGCTCTCACGTTTTTTGCTGCTTGGAGACTGGGGAGGGAGGGAGTGGGTGGGTGTGTGTGTGGGGGGGTTGGTGCCTGGTTTGCTGGATCTGGATGAGTTGGTTTCTGCCCCCCCCCACCCCCCTCTTACCCCCCCCCACCCCCCTCTTACCCCCCCCCCACCCCCCCTTACCCCCCCCCACCCCAACCCCCCTTACCCCCCCCCCACCCCAACCCCCTTACACCCCCCACCCAACCCCCTTACCCCCCCCCCACCCCCCTTAACCCCCCCCCCACCCAACCCCTCTTACCCCCCCCCCAGTCAATCAGTTTCCCCCCACTGCCAATTGCAATGTGTTGTGTGGAGGTGTTGCACACACCCCCACACACACACACCCACACAGGTACTGACTGGCTGTTCAATTAGGTAATGCCATCGTTTTGGTGCTGCTGTTGTTGTTGTTGTTGCTGCTGCTGATGATGATGATGATGATGATGGTACCACTGTTTTTTATCTTCTGACCAGTCTTTGACTGAACTCTTTCCTCATCTCATGAGATGTCAGTGATCGCATACCATCCCCACACCCCCACACACACACACACTCACACCACCACACACAGACAGAGGTTAGTTATGGGGTTAGAAGATTGTAATGTGTTGGTCCCAGGAGGTGGAAGAGGGAGATGACTCTGTTTGCAGCAACAAAAATCCAGCTTCCTGTTATTATAATAATAATAATTATCTTTGCATTTGATATAGGGGTAAGGAAACTTGCCCAACATTTCACTCGACTGGGGAATCGAACCCAGGTCCTCTCGCCTGCGAGGTGAGTGCTCTATCCAATACACTATAGGACTCCATGGGGGATAATAATAATAATCATTATTATTATTAAATATGAAAAAGATGAGAAATTTCTCAGGTTACTAATGTTAGCGATAATTTTGTGGTGTGTAAACAAGAGCTGAATTGTAAGGGGAATGTTGCCGATTGAAGTTATTTTTAATTTCTGCCAGACATCCCACCCCTGCCAAACTGCTGTGAAGAACATTAATGGCAATTGGTGAAATTTATTTTGCTAAGACTATTAAAACCTTTATCCACACCCTCATGGCAAATGACAAGACAAGAGCTTGAGCGGTTTGAAAGAAGCAGAGAGAGCCATGTCAAACTCTGCTCTCGAAAGCAAGCTATGTAGTTTTAACTGGTCAAACTCCAGCAGAATCCTAATTCACACTCTGAGGTTCCCAAATCTTGGCCCTTGCCAACCTGTGCCTAATAATTTCTGGAATTAGGAACCTCTGCCTTTTCATACAGGTAAATAATAATAATGGTCCTTACATTTGGTATAATGCCTTTCATGTCAGGAGGACGTCTCAAAGTGTTTCACAAACTACATTGTAAAGTAAAGTGACTGTTTTTTGTGGGTGAACGTGGCAGAGAATTTGTGCACAGCAATGTCCTAGGTTGTTCACTAACTGCAGAAGGTCTAGGAGGGAAATATGCTCCCAGCAAGGCAATTTATCCACCAACTTCAGCAGGACAACAACAACTTGCATCTATATACTGCTCTTCATGCAAAATAGCATGTTGGAACACTGGAGCCAGAAAACAGCCTGATTTTGTCTTTCCCCTTGGTTAACACTTTTCCATAGTTGCTTAGTTGAGATGGCAGCTTAGTAGAAATGCGTGATATAAATCAGGGTGGTCCAACTGGCGGTCACCAGTGGCTCAGGCTTTGCGCGGCAATGGGACTCACCGATCAGGATAAAATATTCAGCAGCCAAAAGGTTGAACCACGCTGATGTCACCTAGAATTTCCCCAGCCATGGGGTATTTGCTATTCTTTCCATATTCCACGCCACTGCATCCTGTAATATAGCCAGTGTCTATTAAAAAAAACACAAAGCTCACTCAATACAAGGCCATATGTTTCTAATTGTTGCAACTACAGGATTCCTGAGCTACCGTTGTAGGCTGGCGCCTACAACTTCCACATGAATGCGGATTACACCCAACTGTATTGCTCTGCCTCCACCCTTGACTCCAGGATCACTGTGGTCCTGACAGAATGTCCTGGATGAGAGCTAACTTTCTACAGTTGAACGTCAACAAGACTAAGGCTCTCCTGATTGGCTCCGTCAGTGCCTCCACACCTCAGGCGCTGGCAGCATCCACATCCATGGTTGCACATTCCACCTTACTAAGCCAGTCCGCAACCTTGGGGTCTTGTTTGACCCTCAACTATCCTTTCTACCCCACATCCATGCCATGACCCGCTCTGTCTTCCCCCATCTCCACAATATTGTCCAGCTTTGCCACTGTCTCACACCGCAGGCCGTCAAAACCCTCATACACGCATTCATAACATCCAGGCTTGACTATGCAAACTCCTTGCTTGTCAGCCTCCCCAACTCCTCCCTCCATAGCTTGCAGATCATCCAGAACTCTGCAGGCCGTGTCATCGCCGCACCAGGCTCTGTGACCCTATCAACCCCATCCTCGCCCAACTCCACTGGTTTCCCATCACATAGAGGATACAATTCAAGCTCCTGGTCCTCACCTTCAAAGCTCTCCATGGCCTCGCTCCCCCCTATCTCTGCGACCTCCTAACCCCCTACCATCCTGCCCACTCCCTCCACTCAGTGGGCTCAGCCTGCTTCACGTCCCCTGCCTCAACCTCCCCACCATTGGCGGGCGGGACTTCTGGCACACTGCCCCCACCCTCTAATATTTTATCTTTTAAGTAAAATGTGGTGGGATTGTTCACAGGGATTAAACTTCCTCCTGCATCTAGTGTTTTTCGGGGGTTTTAAATAACCATATCTTTCAAGGCAATTCAAACCATTGTCTTCTTATAAAACAGCCATTGCAATCATTCCAATGTTTGTGCCACATTTTACGCTTTAAAATAATTATTTTTTAGTCAACCCGGTATCTGACGCATCCAGAAACCCATCATTATGCTTAAGAGCATCCAAACCAAACTGAGATTTCCATGCATCCCACCTACACATGGAAAACCCAGAGATAGATTGTTGGAATGGTATTCACACTCTCCCTGGAGGGAAGTATCCTGCTTAATTAATTCCGGAAAGTATTAGGTGCAGATTGGCAAGAGCTAAGGCTTGGAGATCCCAGAGTGTGCACATGTGAATAATCTGAAGTGTTTCTCATAATAAAAGTAAATTCTTCCATGTTTAATCTTGCTACAGTAATTTAGTTTTATGGGATTGTCAGAATATTTTTTGAAACATTTAACTGCCATTTATTAATCTTTACAATGTTTGTGTAATTCTCAGAAACACCTACACTTTACTGTTCTCATTTATATCTGTAATTGGCCAGGTCTATTGATTTCATGGATTGAAAGGCAGTATTGTTGTATGGGCCAAATTCTATTTCAGGAAAAATAATAATTCTTGCTTTTATATAGTGCCTTATCATGCCATCGAGACTGCAAAGCGGTGTGACTGCATTTCATGGGTGAACACGGGAACCAATTTACGTGCAGTAATCATATAAATCATAGAATCTTACAGCACAGAAGGAAGCCATTCGGCCCATGATGCCTGTATCAGCTCTTTGAAAGGGCTATCCAACTAATCCCAGTCCCCCGTTCTTACCCCATAGCCCTAATTTTTTGTCCTTTTCAAATACATTCCTAATTCCCTTTTCAAATGTCTCACAAACAGCTGTGAAGTTTTATTTGGCGAATAAATAAAATAAACTATAAGCAATATTTATTTTTATATTTCCCTCCCACTGGCTTCCATTTATTTGTTGGTCATAGTTTATAACTAAAAATAAACTATGACCAATCAATGAGTGGAAGGCAGTGAGAGATGTAGTATACAACAATGGAATGTATTTTTAATATCAAAAACAAAGTCGTTTTTATTCAAGTATCATTTCCCCCAGTAATTGATTTTAATTGATGTTTCAGTCAAAAAACAACGTTTCTTTATAGCTGCATAAAATATTAGATTTTCAACATGTTGGTAATTTGTGTTTGATTACCACCAACAAGAAGATGCTACAGACTGCAATAACATTACTGTGGACTGCACACACCAGCAAAACTTTGCCCTTTAAAATGAGTGGTTTGGGTAGGTAACAGTTTACAGGTGTAAATCCGCAAAGGGGGTTGTAAATTAGTGAATGTGGAATTCTGCCTGGATGCCAATCTCCTGTCAAGGCAACAATCTGGAAGCCAAAACTGAGATAGGCGCCTGAACAGTGGTTTGCCTACAAAATATAGTCAATACTCCTTACTCCTTATAATCCCGTGATGCACTTTGAGACATCCTCCTGATTTAAAATGCACTATATCATATGCATTATTATTATTAGGTGCAGCATCCGTTGAGTATAGATGTCGCTGAGAAGTGAGTATTGTTTTTACTATTGTGTGTCAGCCTGGCTCAGTGGTAGCACTCACCTCAGTCAGAATCTTGTTGGTTCAAGCCCAGGTCAGGACTCGGGACACCTAAGAATTAAGCACATTAGTTATTATATCATAATGAAGAATATTACAGAAACTGGATGACTCACTGCTATAAGATTATATTTGCGATGCTTATATATGTTTTTATGTTTTTTATGTTTTTAATGCTTTAGAATGTAACATACTTATGATCCTCTACTGTATGACCAATTAATTTCATAAGACATGATAGGGGCTGGTTGTCTCAAACGACTACAACAACAACAGCAACATTCCATTTATAGAGCGCCTTTCACGTCGGGAGGACGTCCCAAGGCGCTGGACAGTTGGGTCGGGACCCGAGCAGGGGGGAAATGGTCAGGGTGAGGGGAGGGAAGGGAGGGAGCGAGGAGGGGTAGAGAGTCGAGAGGGGAGCTGAAGGCACGGTC